TTGGCGTGTAAAGAAGTTGAAATTAAGTATTGCTCGCTTCGGTTAAGCTTAGCTATTATGACAATAGAATTCGAGTGAGCCTTAAAACTTCTGCAAAAGTCAAACTTCCCCTTAATTTGTTGATTACTGACTAATTTCATTTATATATCATTGTTATTTTTGTGTTTACGTCAAGGCTCGGGCTTGGGTCATGTCCATTGGCTTCACTCTAGCATTTGGTGCAATGTTCGCTAAAACATGGCGTGTCCATGCCATCTTTAAAAGTATAACTCCCAAGAAGAAGGTAAGATTCTGATCTTCCGTGAACCAGTAGGGTCGCACTAGAAGTGTGGTGGGAAACATGGCTAAGTCCCTTTTACCAGCTTTCAACAACAAAGATTGCTTTTCAGCCCCCCCCCCCCCCTCCTTCCTTCCCATTCCACATTCCACTCTCTAATTTTGAATTTGCCACTCTGCCAACCTCGAACAAATTGTTGATACTGTTTGCATCGTTGTCCCCATCGTTGCCTCAGTTTTTTAATCGTGATGAGAGTCGAACTTTAATCTTTTTTTTCTCCCAGGTTATTCGTGATGAGCATTTGTTCCTGATAGTTGGAGCAATTGTGTTGTTAGATATTCTTCTCTTGTCTTTGTGGAGTGGGATCGAGCCAATGCACACAGGCTATCAGAGATTTATAGACGAGGTGTGGTATTGTTCCTCCACAATGCGGGGTAATTGTAGCAGAAGTAAAGGTGCAAATGATTCTGAAATTATTTCCCTTTGTACTCTCTGAATCTTTGTTTCCCTTAATTTCTCCTATAAACTGTCGGCATTGGAGTTACTTTGGTAGATCGGATCGAGAGAAAAAAGCGAAAAGGAAATGAAAAAGAGAAACAAAAGAAAAAAGAAAAGAAATGAGATCGTGTTAAACTAAAGGCATAGTTTTCTTACTTAGATGCGACTGGAGGACGATACGGAAATCATTCCTAAGCTGGAGCATTGTGAATCGAAGAACCTTTCCTATTGGCTGGGAGCTGTGTACGCTTTCAAAGGCCTCCTACTGGTCTTTGGAGTCTTTCTCGCGTGGGAAACACGCGCGGTTACAATTCCAGCCTTGAACGACTCGCGTTATATTGGTAAGTTCTGCTTTGGCTGATTTACCTACGGAAATATCGAAGTAAAAGCGTCTCGGAAAATTTTTACTGAAAACAAGGAGATTTTTACTGATTGGATTTGGTGCGGCATCTATGATCAAACTCTAGGATTTGGGAATAGCACACAGTCGGAACCATCCTCTGCGACCACCTCGTAAGCGGCCATGTACCTCTCGTTAGTGACCACCTCTCGTAAGCGACCACTTTTAGAGATGCTTGTTCATAATTTTAAACTCTCTTTAACCGTCCCGTAGGCGACCACTTAACGGATTCATGAGCGGAAACTGAAAATTGTTTCAACAAATGTAGATGTTGCTTAAATGGAACTCCCGAAGTGTTTCCCGAAATATAAAACAATCACCATAGATCGCAATTTCTTTTTTACCTTCAACAAGCCGTTTAAAGTTGTTCCTATAGATTTCGATAAGCGTTGGCGAAAGGGTCAGGTCACCATTTTGCAGAATTAGCCGAAATATGAACCCCCATGGCCTGACCTCTGATAAGCGACCACCTTCCTTAAGTGACCACCAAGACTTGATATTTCGGGTGGTCGGGAGGTTCGACTGTAGCTGTAAATCTAAATTTGACATCTTTTCTATAGTTTGTTAAAAACGAGATATTACGCTCCAATCATGTAACTATCTAAATCTAAATGACTTCAGATTTTCCCAGTGTTGCTTATCGATATTTAAACCAATTCATTTTCGTTAGCGAAATAGAACAACGTCACGAGTGGACAAAATGAATGAATAAATAAATGAAAAAATTAATAAATACTGTAGTGTAACGCCAGCTAATGTACTTGTTTTTCTTTACTTTTCATTGATCTCTTTTAGGGATGTCTGTTTATAATGTTGTAATACTCTCTATTCTCGGAGTGGCTATCACCTCCGTTATTCGAGATCATCAAGATGCAACGTTTGCCATAACAGCCGTATTTATCATTTTTTGCACAACTCTGACCCTCTGTTTTGTATTTGTGCCAAAGGTATGTTTAAAACAACAGTTATACAACACTGTATAACTGTTAAACATTTAACTCAGCTATGTCCCTAAACTTATGCTGTAGATTGTACATATAACTGTAAGTAAAGGATAGCCATGCCGCAATAACATGGAAAACGGAATACTAGATTAATTAATGATTATCCGACTCGCGCTGGTTGGATATGAGATGATAGATATTCTGTAGTGCCAAATTGGCTATAATCATCTCATATCCAACAGGCGCGAGTGGAATAATTGTTTTTACTAAAAACGCCTCCAAATATAGGATTTAATGCCGCAGCTTTTAATAAGCTGGCAACGAGATAGAGAGGGGGAGAGAGAGGGAGGGGGAGAGAGAGAGAGAGAGAGAGAGAGAGAGCGGGGGGGGGCGAATATTATTTGTTCCTCTTTCCCTTTCATTAATAGGGGAAGGGGGTGGCCGTTGTGATTCTCTGATCTATCGTAGGCAAACACATGAATTTCCTGAATGATATCGATGGCTTTGAATTATTCATTTAAGGTTATACAGCTGTGTTCACCTGATGGTGGAAACGAGGCTAGCAATACACGCAAAAGCACTGCCAATAATCCAGATTCTCTTTCAACCATGGACAAGAATGCAGTGAATATGACCACGGAAAACTCAAAGCTAAAGAAACAGTTGGCCGAGGTTAGCATCAAAATTTCATTTCTACATAGCAGGTAATTTGGTGTTAACAACTGAGTTGAAAACGTAAATTGGCCATCGTAAAGAGTTAAAAGGCTGACGTTTCGAGCGTTAGCCCTTCTCCAGAGTGATTGACGAAGGTCTTTACGGTGGCCAATTTATGTTTTCAACTCAGTTATTAACACTAAATTACCTGTTACACTCTCCCACCGACGCAACATCACAGTTTCTTTAGAAACTTACACGCTTTATTAATTTCCGCATAGGTTGTTCCAAATGATATCAGTCTCTAAATAGTATTGAGAAGTTCTGAAGCGAAACGGCTATATCGACTACCACAAATAAGCATCGGAGGGACTGGTTTTGACTGTTTAATTTATGATCAAGCGTTGGTAAATGGTCTTAAATGTTCTTTATGATATGATATGGTTATTATCAAAATGAGTGCATATGCTAATAACTCTCGAAAAAACCTTTAAATTTGCAAGGGAATAGGAACAAGGATACTTCCATAATAACACTGTAACAGTTGAGGCAAACTGGTGGCATTCTTAAAATTCCATGTGTTCGTTTTCATTTCGTGGGGATAAGCCCAAACCGAAACAGATAAGGTCAACGTTTTCAGGAAAGTTTCCGTCGAGCCACCTCCGTTATATAACATACTTAAAATAAAAACATTTTGGTAACAGGTGTGAGTTTGGGGGCCGAAGTAGAGCAGCTGTAACAAGGCTATGAAGTTTGTAGCATCTGTTATTGCTAAAGCGCTTTTCGTTATCATAACCTCAGTGCAACCCACCTGGAGAAAAATTACGTGTGTGCATATGTTTGCAGAGGGAGAATGGTAGCCCTGAACGCTCAAATAGCTCGAGCAGCGGAGCATGCGCACTCTTTTTGCTGCAGCGTTTACTGAAACAGTTTGAATTTATTTTTCTTCCTTTTTTAGCGGGAGCAACACTTTATGGATCTGAAAAGACTTTTAGAGACCGTAGCACCAGACTTAATTGACGATAAAGAGAAGAAATTTAAGAAGAGGCAGTCATTGGTGACATTCAGAAAACCCGAACCGTCCTACACCAATGATAACTACGAGTCCGACGAGCGAATTTCAAGTGACAAGGGCTCAGGAAAGAAGACGACAAACTCTTCTGATAGTGGAGTGAAAATTTAACAGAAAATACGACCGAAGCGTTCAATGAGTTGGTCGAAAAGCTAGAATACACCCAACCAAGAAAAACATAGCTTGGTTTCCCTGAATAGTTTCCAGCTTTTTATAGAGAGGATAGAAGTAAAAACGCACCGCATACGCTCTGTTTTTTTTCAACATCTGACAGATGATATGTGAATACATTTATGCCACAAGTTATAAAACGAAGACGTATGTTTTCCTTTAGAGGACTGCCTTGCATTATTTATATTATAACCATTCAAATAGAGTCCAGAGTCTGATCTGTAATAAATTGCATTCACAATCCTTAGATGTCTTATCCATTGTTGTTTATCCATTCTTATACTCCCCACTTCTTTGAAACCTTTGGCCATAGTTTAATACTAAAGACAACATACTGTTAGCTGAATGTACAATGAGCTATGGCGCGGCATGCCATCGTCATAGCAACGCGACAAATTCTTACCAGAAAAGAGTTGGGGATGGTTATGAAGAGAGATAGTCACCAACACCAATTGATAAATAGAAATCCGGAATAAGTTTTTAATAAGGGAAAGCCTAACATGTTCACACAAAATGTAGTAGCTTTGATGCGATTCGTCGAAACTCTACTGCTACTGCAATTGAAATGTTAGGCACTCAACAAACCCTTCTCCAAAACTTTGTTTGAAAATTTATTGCGTTAATTATTGACCTTCAAATTAATCTACAGCGAAATTCACTGCCAAAACTCTGAAAGAAGAAGTTTCGTTCACCCAGTTGCGAAAGCGCTGTTTAAAGAGTGAAAAAATAACTGTAAGCTAAGGCTGGGTGTATAAGTTCTAAAACTTATGCCCATTGGTGAAAATGCTTGTAATAATGATTCTGTTTAGACAGATTTAAATCTTTTGGTGGTTATTCTGCTGCGAGGGTTATTTTTTCCATGATAAATGTTCTCAATTTCACTCACCATTTTGGAAAAGGGTCCGTTCAATAACTACAATAACACATAAATATCTCTACTGACTAGTTTCCTTCGACATTGAAATCTGATCTCTAAAAACGCTCTTAAAACGCAGAGTTTGCTTTAATTTCTCTTCATTTCTAATTGTAAGAGGTTATTGACTCATTCAAATAGCCTCGAAAAGATCTTAGCTTAATTATTATGAACAAAGAAGTACTGAGAAGACACAGCGTCTGTTTCTACTCATCAAATAATAAGCAAGTTAAACAAGTGAAACAAGTTAAACAAGTTAAATCGAAGCTACTAAAGATATTGCGTGACGCGAAAAAGGTTTTGTCTGTTTATCCACATACAACTAGTTTTGCTTACTTTAGAAATTAAATGTGCGATCTGCACTACACAAAGAAGCATTTGAAAAATTTAGATACGCCAAAAGCCTATGCACAGCACTTTGCAATATTTCATGAACTTATTTCTGAATTGTTCTGGGGCATTGTTGAGCTTCCACTTGTGGGGATCAGTTTGTAAATCAAGTTCGAAATTACTGACTTAAGGTTCTCTTCGTGTTATTTTCTTTTCGCCTCATTCAGTTCAACCCATGACGGTTTCTCGGAAGAAAATTAAAAATGTTGAAAGGGAAGTTATGAACAAGAACAACCAGAAAAACATCCTATCCATGATGAGAGCAGCAATGCGCCATTCCTCCCTTTGCCTGTCGTCTTCTTGTCTGGCACGAACATCGTCGGCCAGAATGCTTATGTCCTCGAGGAGCCTCTCAGTGAACGAGCTGTGACCCGCAACGATACTCATACTGCGGGCACTTCGCCTGCTTGGAGTACTTCGACCACTCTGATATATGACGGACATGTCATCTCGAAACCTGGATGAATTCTCGAGCTCTTGAACTGTCATGTACGTATCGTCGTCGCACACAACATCGCCGTTTAAGTCAAATTCGATTTTTCTTCTTTTGGTTTTGGGTGTAACTTTAATTTCCTCCTCTTTGTCGTTTGGGAAGCAAAACACTTTTGCCATGTAGCCAAGAATGATAACTCGGACCCACTGAGGCATTGGTGAAGTCGACGGACTACGGTGGAAAAAGTTCAAAATGGTACATGTACTGACAAGTGACATTGCAGTGACAAACATTGTGGCGATGAAATACTGACCAAGTAACGGAACATCGTCTGAAGTTGCGGGAAGTGTCTCAGCTACGAGTAACAAGAAAACAGTCATCGCTAACAACACCGTGATTCCCAAACCGACTTTTTCCCCAGATTCTGGCGGTAGAAAGAACTTGATCAGTGTAAGTGTGGAAATCAAAGCGCAGGGTAGGATTAAGTTAAAAACATAATATAGAGGCTTTCTTTTGATGATCAAATTCAGTGTCACATCATGATAGGGATATCGGCAGCAGTTATAATACACTTTATTTAATTTCGCTGGCATTGCAATGAGGTTCCACTCTCCATTTTGTAGGTATAATTTTAAGTCAGCAGATGGTGATTCCGACTCCATTGTCAAGCGGTCACCTTGGAACGTCCATGAGCCAAATTTCAGCGAACAGTTCTGCTTGTCAAATGGGAAGTTAGCCACGTTAATCTTACAAGTGCTTGTAAAAGATGCAGGTGCGTTCCACTCATTTGTTCCATCATCAGACAAAATTACAGCAGTCTTATATTTTTCTAGTCCACCTCCGTTGCTGTCATCAGCGCTGAAGATAAAATTATGTGTACGTAAAGTTACAACCTTTCATCTCAAACATTTTCCCCAAATCGGGATTGCTAATATAAAGGGAAAAGTGTGTCCTTTTAAGAACTAAATTGAAAAACCTTTGATTTGATTCGTAAAATTCAACTACCTAGATCTTTGTATAGCGGTTGATAGGCCTACATTTCATAGGAGAACCATGGGCAAACGGTTCAATGTCCGGCTTCGTGGTGTGTATGGTTCGGAATTTTTTGGCCATGTGGCAAAGGGAGAAAAAAATCAATAAATAGAAAAACACAGGTTGCATGTTATGAGTCTTAAGTTGTAAAGAGCCATAGTTTTCGTGGAACTGAGAATAAAGACTACATCACATCTTACAATGAATCCTACTTACTTATTATAAAGAATGACGTCAGGTATCCATACTTTGGAAGGGTGCACATTTACTGATTTTATTCCACCATATTTGGATGCGTTCCATCCTAACATTGGATTTATCCATTTCTGGTAGAAAAAATGCACAAACAAAACATATTTAACTTAATATGTCAGTTTTGAATTCAGGCTATTTGGCATATACCTTAATTTTCTCCTTTAAAATTGTCTTTAGTTTCTTTCTTTGTTTTTTTTCTTTGTTTTCTTTGTTTCTTTGTTTCTTTCTCTCTCTTATCCTTTCTTTTTTTATTTTTCTCTCTTTTTTTCTGTCCCATAACCATTGCAACCATTTGTCAGGTAACGCTACCAAAATATGTGTTTAATTTTTGGTTATTGTAGTCGACTTGTGACAAGTATGCAGAAGTCTATGAATTTTCAGCGAAAGTCCGGCAATGGTGGGAAGTAAAGTTAAAATCTCCTTCTTAGGATACTTGTTCATCTTCATCCAAGAGACAGTGACAATCAGCTGCATCATTCTAGAGGAACTTCTTGATGTGTAATATTGTGTAGAAAGAGATTTTTTATGGCCATTCTTTAACTGCCGAAAATTTGTGCGGTGAACATGAAGAATTGAAATGACCTGTCTAATCCAGACGTTGAGGGTCAGAAGTTGAGACTTGCTGTTCTGTAGGTAGAAGATTAGACTGATTTTGAATAATAAGTAAATAAAATATTTACGTTTAAGTTCAATTTCACCTGTTTTCCCCTTTAAGAACATGAGGTGTAAATGATCTTTTGGAAGGTCTTAGTAATTGTGGTATAAAAGATAATTTATCATTCGAAATTTGGGAGACAGGATTCATACGAAGGATTGAAAGAAACTTGTACAAAACAAATCTCTCAATTAAATAGATATGGAAACTATTAGGTTACACAAGCGCTTAAGGATATCCTGCCGGCCTTTGATTTCCTATTTATCAAAAGTACCTCTTCGAAAAATTGGTAACCGTTTACATGAAAATGGCGAACTCTTTTCTAAGAGGCCGGAAACAATTCCGGATGGCGAGCCTACAAAGTTTTCTCTTGTTCCCCCAACATTCATCGAGCAGTTTGTTATGCTGGTAAACCGATAGAAAGTGTAATCTCCTGCTTAAAATAAGTCTTAGGTAGTAAAAGTGGTTCACACGAATTTTCGAGAAAATTCTGAACGCGGAAACAATTAACACGTCCAAACCTGTTAAAAAAATGGTAAAGTATTCATTCAGTTCCACTCAAAACTGGCAAAAATGCCGTACACATTTCTAAACCTGTTAAGAACTGGTAAAGTATTCATTCAGTTCCACTTAAAACTGAGAAACATGCCTTACACATTTCTTTCTTTCCTTCAAAACTAGGAAATGGTTGCCGTACAAATTTTTTCCGCGGTATTTTCGTTATTGCACGCTTGTTTGAATTCGTCAGGGTGACAGTACTTGCAACGTAAACGTTTGGTCTCCTGAATCTTAAAGAGAATTGTACACCGGTTCACTTACCACTGATATAATTTGTATCAAACTCAAACTAAACTTGACGTGTACAGGGCTACTTGTGTTGAAGACTGGTCTCACTTCTTTATCGTAATGTTCGAAAAGATCCCTGAGAAGGCGGAACTCGTGCGTCTCAGCTACAAAAAATCATTTGGAAAGTAATTGAAATAGAAGAAGTATCATGAACAACACAACAAAAACAACAACAACAACCGGAATCGTCATCATCTCGTCAACTTATTCATTCTGTAAATAAGCGTTATAAAACGCGAATCGAGAATTGATATATGGTATCTGTGATTAAGTTTATGATTTTTAACGTGAAATAACTTCAAAGTAGAGCATACCCGTTGCCGATATTCCTCGGCAGCACGTTGCGAAAATGACTGCCGCGTAGAACAAGTATCCAGGTGCTCTTGTACACATTCTCCTACATGTCTCATTCTTCATTAGATTTCATTCCAGGAACGTGTTCCTGTGAAAGAAAATCTTCCTTCAATAAAGATTCGTACGGAAATGACGCACCTTGGCAAATCTGGTTTACAAATGCGGACGAGTTAATGTCGTCACTTAGCAGACATCTTTATCTTGTTTTTGAAAAATTTCCGTAAATATTATAAACGACTAAAAGAATAAAATTATTAATAAAAAAGGCACATGATTTACATCTGTAACAAGAAATGTGATAATTCATAAGAACCCCGATGGAAAATTCCATTTCATTACTGCATCCATCTCAAAGAAGAAAAAAAATTAAGCTTGCTTGTCATCCTTCCGCCTTTTAGATCTCATTGTTTTGGAAAGAGCTAGTAGCAATAATGGCAAACCTACTGGAAACAGTTTAATAGGTTTTTTGTTGTTTTTCATCATTTGACGAGTTCACATTATCAACAAGAGGTAGCTTTTGTTTGCTTCTCTGGTTGCTCTAGAGGGTTTGTATTTGGATGAGTAGAGTAAGTGTGAATTTTGTAACAAACTCTGCACGCAGTGGCAAGCAAAGTCAAGGTTAATCCTGTTCTATCGCGATATTAAGTGTATCGTCTGGGTTCGTTGTGGCTCAGTGTGGTTAACCAATATAAGTGTTTGGAATCAGACTGAGTATGGCGCTAGGACTTATAAATGAGCCTGAAGAAATAAGACTTAATGGGAGGAGTTTGCCAATAGGATTTTACGTGTGGAACTCGGTTTGGCTTGAAATTAAATTTAGCGAGCTCCCCGTCGATATAACCATAATACTAATTGATGAGAATTTTCGATAGTTTTCAGTTGTTCTCCAATGAATGTGTAACATGAAAATTCACTTTTAAATAGATAAAGTAAAACATTAGGAAAACTCTCAATGATATATCTCAGCTTTGGAAGAAATTTCCAATACAAGTCATTATTTTACAATAGATCGATTTAGCTGCGGAATTTCTCAGAATTGCCTGGCCTGCCTTTCAGCGACACATAACTATTGAGGCTGAATATTGTCAGAAACCGCACTTCTAGAAATTCAGTTCATACTTTAAAAAAGTGGTAAAGCACAAAATTTCTTAGGTGACCTAAATTTTCAATAAACATTTTAAACATAATTTTAAGATGCCATTTAAAGTATCGAAAGCAAACTTTTCCTTGAATTGACAACAACAGCTGCTTCGACTGACAAATTATTAACGATTAAGTCCACGCCGGAATGCATTTTGGCATCGATGCAATTTTTCTATTTTTTAAACTGATGTAAAATGCGAAAATTTCATGAAACGGAACGTCCCCAGATTTTGCTCTCACAGGTTACACTTTCTTCCCGACCATAATCATTTCATTTTGTTTCAGTTTTGGGATGGCATATTATGACTGTACTGTGTTTGTTAGATAACCACGGGGACTGTAAGATTGAATTTTAATCACTTAATTCGAAAAATTAAAGGCAGAGGCTCATTAAAATAAAAAGACGGAATAATTCTCATGCTTTGTGTCTCAAAAAATTTAGGCATAGTTCACAGCAAATCCTGGTAAAACAATGTACAATTTCCTGAAGACGAAAGAAAAAAAACGGCCTATCTTTGACTGCAGTCACAACACTGCCAAGCGTTCGTCTTTCACACGTTTAAATCACGTTTGCTTTTGAAGCAAACAGGTTGGAAATGTTTAAGCTCGTAGGGTATATCAATGGTACTTGTAAATATTAAAATATTCTGTATGAGGTAGGACTTCAGCACAAAACGTATTTAAAAGATGAATTTTCGCAAATTCAAGTGAATCCGCTTCTCTCCTACCGTGCGTTTCAGTAAGTTAAAGATTGTTGGGGTTTCAACATTACCATATATTTTATAGGCACTACTCGCTTTGAGCGCGATTTTGAGCTGCACTCCAGCCGAGAGTAAAAATTCGAAAATTTTTGTATACTCTTACCTTGAAAAGGCTCCCATGGATACTCTGTGGCCCAGATGTGTTTTCTTCTTGTTTGACAGAAAACGGAGTCCCGTGCAGGCCGATTGTTCGAAAGCTCTGTTCGATCGTCTAAGACACTCAACTGTAGCGGTTATACAAACAGAAATCCTCGCTAAAAATTTTTTTCCAGTGAAATTCAATTTCACGAGAAACTCAGAAGACAAAGCAGTGGGGATTGTTAAGCGTGAAATTCAAGTGAAATATCCAGAGATGGCTTGGGTCTATCCGTGGGAAGTCTCAAATACACAGGAAAGCCAGTTTACGCATACGCAAATAAACAGGTGGTTTCAAACCGCTGCCATACGATAGGAAAACATGCAAAATTAGATGTAAACAGAACAGCGAGCGCTCACTTTGGAAATATCACCCCTAATTCTTTTGAAAGTTTTGTAATACTTTGCTAGAAAAAAATCCTCTTAAAGCGATTTGAATTCCAAGTGTTGATTGCGGGAATTTATTTAGCAAAAATTCAGATATCGATAAGTCATGCAGAACATTATCTTAGAATATATTTACTAATCTTTAATTTGCATTTGAGCAATTTTAAAGTTTGAAATCCCATCAAAACACAACTTCCTGTTCGTAGAAATCTTATGTTTTGGAAATTAGCATCTCTCCACAGAAATCATGAAATTCTTTCGCCATAAATTGATAGTGTTTATAAATTTCCCCATGTTTAATTTTCTCAATCCCACCAAATCACATAAAGGACGCCGTTCCGATGGAAATCAATTTAACATGCTTAAACAAGATTGGAAACAAATTACTTCTCATACATGTGAGTTAAACATTTAACTGATGTGGCAGGATTTAGTCGGCTCGTACCACGAATAACCATATGAAGTGTGCGGAATTGACTCGAAGTTTAAGTTTCGTAGATTTGTTAACACCAAGTTGAATTTCCCTCTGCTTTTTCCAGTTTTATACCTAACGCGCAACCTTATCCAAACTGAAAGTCGAAGAGATATTTAACAAATTCACTGAATGGGAGACGTCGATTCGATAAACTGGTAGGGGCGTTTTGATCGGTAAAATGCTATTTCAAAATTGTATGTAATAAGATTCTGAAAATTTTGTCACGGATAAAATCTTCCGTATTCCTATTTAACCTGTTGGTGTTAACATTTCGGCAAAATTCAAATTGACAAAATTCAACAAGAGTTTTAGGGAGCTTAATGAGACCACTAAATCATGTTTATTTGGGAACAAAGGAAACCGATCCATTTTAACTGGTTAGTCTATTTTCAGTCAAAGGTAATTAGCCCGAGTGTTAGCCTTGGGCAGACCATTGCTTTGTGTTGCTCTTCACCGAAGAACATAAAGAGTAAATTCACGCAGGTGCCAGCAAACCGGCAGGTGACGAACTTTTGCCGTCTGTCACATATTTCGTAAGACTATTACACTTGTTAGCTAAGGAATTAGGAAAGGACATTAGACGCTATTATTGTGAAGTAAAAAGGACAGTTTTAAATTACAGCCGTATGGTATTTTGAAAACTACACTGTTTGTTCAACAAAATATCGTGGATTCCAGTCGGTCGAATGCCTGCTTAAGTTGTTGCGAAATCACTTCCGCGAAGTTTTGTCGAGGGCTGTTCTCGAAACGTCAGTATCGTCGCTTGCACAATTCCACAGGATGAAATGGCCAATAAGATGACAAGGTTTTAAGAGTGATGGAAAACAAATTTCAATTATTTATGTCGTATTGTACGTGTATTACCAGCGTGTGATGAATTTGAGGTTACAGTGCTAATAAGAAGACTGGTAATTAATTCAAGCTACTCTAACATAGAATAGACTCAACTGATTTTATGAAAGAGAAGGAGGATGAGTAAGGGGAGAATCCCTCAAATATCTCAAAATCAACTCTTCTCGTATTATTTGTTTTACGTGTTGGCCGGGGAAGAGTTCTAAACTGCAGTTTCACAAAGTAATAAAGTGTTTGATGATGATCAAATAACTCAAAATTAAGTCACCATTTGTAAATAATGCCTAAAAAATCATACAGTAAATGAATACGTATTTACGTAGAAGTTATTCAGCCGATTTGTTATCTTATTTGAGCGAACACCGTTGAATAAACGATCAAGAAATGAAACGCGTGGATGTTTAAACAGTCCTATTTCTTTGAGCATGGACCTGCAAACAAAATCAACAATAAATGGATATGTGTCTTGGACTGTAACATTGTTGGAACAGGGTTCGTCAAAATGAAGTTTCTATTTTTCCCCATTTCTGTAATTGTTTGCGTCCAATTTTCCGAAGAAAGTATACCTGAAGGTAAGAATTACGTCCTGAAATTTTGTTCAGCTCTCTCAACGAATATTAATAAAAAAATCTAACATTTTAAACATAGATTACTGAGACGAAAAATCCTTTTTAATTCCTCTTACTTCCTCCGCTGAACATAAATTTCTCTTCAGCGAACTACAATAAAAAGTCCTGGGTTGAGAATGAGTCTAGAGTATAATTTTAAATTGAATACGGAACCAAGTAACTCTAAATGACACAACTGATCATCAGCCGGCAATTAAAATTTAAAGCAAATTCAGTAAAGATACTAGATCACCATCAGACTTAAAGGACCACAAAGCAGTAGGTTAAGTGAGAGATTAAATCAAAATGAAGGCGAATTTGTCCGGTTCTAAGATTAATTAATTTGAGATATAAGTTTTGTTATATTCTAGGGTTTTGGGAAGTCAGATGTTCACCAGTACATCATTTATTGACTTGTTCTTTCCATACAAAAACAATCGATGTATTAGTTTCAAATTGGGCTCACTACTTTGACATATCTACAAATTTTAAAATAATTAGCAGCAGCTCTTTTATTTCCAAGTATCAGAGCGAATGGATCGAAACAAGATTCTTGAGGAAATCAAATCTAAGTAAATATGAACATATATTACAGTCTAAGTCTCGTACAATGAGTTTAACGGAGAAAGGATGGTAAGGATGGTAAAAATCTCGCGCTACAGGCAATTAAGGTTTCTTTAGAAGTTTTTAATGTCACAGTACGTTATCTCTCCGCCAAGTTTCAACACTTTTCCCTGATTAGGGGCGACAGAAAGAAGCTTTTCTATTCCCTGTAGACGATATAATTTGATTTTAACAACTGATTTATTAATATGATATGGTTATTGTAAATAGCTTCTAAAGCAGAGAATTGGAGGGTTAACTCTTTAACTCTAACAAAAGTTAATGCCTACCTACGATGGCCAATTTACATCATCAACCCAGTTGACAGAACTAAATAATGTTGTAATATCACCCACGCGCGTAGCATCACTGTTTTTCTAGAAACTTGCTCTCTTTATTCTTTTAAACAATAGATTGGCCCATGCAGATTTCATAAGAGAGGAAGTCAAAGAGAGTTCCCACTTTCCTTTTGGTTTTGTGGTTGCGTCTCTTATAAGCCCCTGATGAATTATTGATATTAATAACAATCTCGCTAACATCAATATTAAAATTACTATCATCATTATCTAACGAACGGTTCTTCAAAAGACTTGGTGCAAAAAGAGGGTTGCGCAAATATTTCCATGCAACAGTATCTCTAGTTTTCAATCTCTATTCACAATTAGAATATGAGTTCGAGATTCTATCGAGTGATAATTGGCGTGAGGAAAGCTCAAATCGTCTATCACGCACAGAAATAGAGGGGGAATGAACTAATCGTGTTAATATAATCTTCTAGTAGTTCGAAATTCCACAAAGAGGCAGGCTCATAATTTCTTTTCATTTTGCCTACTAACACACTATGATTGCTTCTTTTAATCTTCCACCGTTAAAGATAAGATACAAATAGAAAACTCCGAGCTGCTATCATGAAATAATGAAAAAAAAAAGAGAGGCTGAGTGAATATAGACTTAAGAATGTTTCATTGTTTCTTTTTTTATGTAAGACAACAAGGGATTGGACGATTTGTACCAAGGTGACATACTACTCAACAAACAGCAGGAAGACGACTTGCGAACCTCAAAAGCAAGGGGCGCGGGTCTGCGCCTTTGGCCAGGTGGCGTGGTTCCATACGTCATATCCCATGAACTTGGTAAGTATAACGGTCTTGACAGAAAAGTAGAGATGGTAAGTTTTGAGCTCGGTGAAGAATTAAGAAAGATGTTTTTTCGTCTTGTCACGAGCGTGGGATAAAGAAAAATTCTGAGTCCCCATGAAGAATCGAACTTCAGACCTTCGGATTTGCGCTCCGATGCTCTACCACTGAGCCACAAAGACTCTTCGGTGAGCGAGGTCTATTACGAAGTTCTAATGACACGCGTCCCGCCTACTGCTAGGATCAACAATGTCGATAGGGTAATGTTTTTGACAGAAAAGTAGAGATGGTAACGGTCTTTTCCCTTATTTACTGTAAGACTGTTTTCAACTCTTGAGTAATTTTCTAAAGTTTCTATTTATTATCATGATAATTTCTTTTTCTAACCAAAAACGAAAGTTTAGCTTGAGTAAAATTTCACAAAATAAGAGAAAAAATTCATAATAACAATAATAATAATAATAATAATAATAGTAGTAATAATAATAATGATGATAATAATAAAATTATGAGTAATAATAATATATAATAGAAAGAGGATAACAAGACACTTTCTTTCAATCAGTGAACTTATGAATAGAATTAGTCCAAAAGTGACCTGTATTTGTTTTGTTATCAGTGTTTTATTTGTTCTAACTCCTCTATTGCAGCGAGAAGTGAAGTTTTGGTTCGAACGCTAAAGAACATAATGACAGAATGGGAAGTGCAAACTTGCATTAAGTTTAAAACGAAGACTGTAGAGAAAGCTTACATCCGCTTTATATACGGAAAAGGGTAAACTTGATGCAGTCAGTTTATAGTTATGTCAAAGGATTTGGCAAGTGAAAAAAAGAAAAAAAAAATATATAGATTGATAAATGAAAAAGCAAACAAAAGGAGGAAAGAAAGATGTCAGACCATGCGATTCGAAAACATTCAAGCATAAAAATAGGTAAAAAAGTTATTAGGAACATGGCATAAAAAAACTGAGTCCCAAATGAGAATCTGTCTTCGAACAGCTGCGATGATATTGGATTCTCCAACAGCTGATCTGAAAAGGGCTTGTTTAATTTGTTAGCTAGAAGACCAGTTTCATATATTACAAGCGTCCTTGATACTGCTCGGATAAGCAATGGATATGATATTTCATACTTAAGTACATTATGAACCCATTGGATATCTTCGTAGATGTTACTCATACGTGGGATGTCAGGGCAACGAGCAGACAGTTAGTCTTGGTCCAAACTGCTGGGCATTAGGAACTTTGCGGCATGAATTAGGTAAGGTAATGTGAACAAAGCAAAGATCACAGATATCTCGAGACTATGGGCATAATTCTACGGTAAACAATAGTTTGTTGGTACGTATTCCAGTCACAGAAAGTTACAAATTATAAATTTCCTCTGGGTCATTTCTGCCTACAAAGCTGTCCCTTTCCGATAACAGAAGTTAACCAAAGCGGTTGACGTAAGCGCAAATGATCAAGAGAGGGGCTTATCATAAGTGGAGGCAAACATGCAGAAGTGACAAAAAAAGCTACTGAAAGGAAAAAAATATTGTTTTAAGATTAGGCTAGTTGTTCTTGTCCTTGACCTAAAAAACCATTAGAAAATTCTCCTAACCACGCTAAAGACGAACACCACGAATCATTTTTTCTTTCCATTTTCATATTTGAAGGCTGTAAATAAGTACGTATCAATGTTGATATAATTTTCCAAAACTCTCTCTCTAGTTTTTAGTCATTTTCTGAGATATGTCGTGTTTTACTCCTATAAGGACACGCGCTTGGGTTCTTTCATGAGCAAGCGCGCCCTGATCGAGATATGTACATCAACATTGAAAAGGATAATATCCAAGCAGGTAAGATACATGCATTTCCTCTCTTTAAACCTCCCTGTATTTCTTTTTTTCGAGCAGTCCATGTAACCTTGGACTATTTAAAGCGAAATTACCTTAACCTTCTGTGTATCACTCCCCTGCGCTTCCCTATTAAAACTAATGAGAATTAAATAGTGTCTATATTTGCGCCAAATTCAAGCTACCATCGACGTGGAATTTCAATTAAGTGTCGAAAGTTATCCAGAATTGCTTTGGTTTTACCTATCATTGCTCTTTGATTATTTCAGAATTCTCGCGCCATCCTCGCAGCTAACCAGATACAAAGCTTAAAACAATTGCGACTTGTTATTCGCGTTTTCCCATGCTTCAAGCAGTGTGCTTGTTTTTGCAATGAGTCCTCATTTGCCAGTGGTAATTTAAACCTTTTCTTTCTGATTGATCCTCAAGATTTCTTTGGTTTGGCTTTTCGACACTCAGTAGAAAGTGTAGAAAACTTTCCACTCTGCTTCCGGGTCATCTAGTTAAGGTAGCCTCATATCTTTGTACTTCATGTGAACAATTCAGGTGTCTTATCTATTATTCGAATTTGCATGCCTACGGATGAGCTTAACTGTTGAGTCAAACCTTGCGTTGATCACAGTGATCACTGAGGGGTCAATTGAGTGATAGCTTTTACAGTTAGGAGTTAAAATTTTTGGCCATTTTGTGGCTAACCGTTAACCCAAAATGACACATTCTAAAGAGAAGAAATTTTTATGGTTAAATTTTCTTACGACAAACAACTAAATTTTTTAGTTTTACGACTAAGGACTAAATTTTCTGCATGGCCGTCTTACGGCTAGCGGTTAACCCCATTGATAACATGTTACTTAATAAAATGTCTCAAGATTGTGGAGAAAACATGGGAAAGCTTTTAATACAAAAGCAAGTCTTCATTTTTAATTCATTGTTCAACCTTTTAATTTTCTTGTTGAATTTTGAGTTACATTTGAGTGATACGATAATCACGACTGAGCTGCGGTGTGTACCCAGCGTTGCAAAAAAGCAAAGAATTAACCGATATGATGGAAAATCTTCGCCCACACGGACTATGCGCTATGTGATCATTGTTTCTCCTGGTTCTTGCGACTGTTTCCTTTTTAGGAAAGGAATCGAACTTTGACAAGTTGACGCCCGCTCTGCAGCAGTCTTGGATGCCCTTTGGTACTCCATATGACTACTTTTCCATCATGCATTTCTCTCCGTTCGCATTCACAAAAGACAAAAAGCCAACAATTACTGCCAAAGACAACAGGGTGAGTCAGAATTTTGCAATAGACATAGGAAAATTGTTGTCCCTTTTAACCTTAAGTCGACGAATATCTTAAGAAATTGCAATGAATATTTATCATATTTGAATCTAATATGGGCCAACTTACCACAGAGCTCTAAAAAGCTCATTGGTAGAGCATCGGAGCGCGGAAGCCGAAGGTCTGAGAGGTTCCATTCCCCGACGGACACTTAGATTTTTTTCCTTTTTCATACGTTCGAGACAGAAAAAAAATATGTTTTCTTTCCACAAGCTAAGCAGGTTGGTTTATCATTATGATCAAACTATTTCCAGCCTACTTGATATATTACAGTTGATTTGTATACTGACTTTGCATACATTTAGGTATCTCTCCGTTACCTTGGTCAGCGGGATTTCATCAGTTACTTGGACCTGCAGCAAATGAATTTAATGTACAACTGCCCGGGAAGTAAGTTAGCAACGTTAGCGAAACATACTTCTTCTAGTTCTATACAATATTTTAATGCCTCCGTGATCATATTAGGAAAACAGGTGCTTCAACTTCCCATCATCAAATGAGTAAGAGGGTATTCATTCAGCATATTTAGAAGTTAGGCGTAATGGACGGAGGTAATAGTCGATAATAGATGGATACATAGAGTAAGCTTGTGCGAATAGGCAACCGCAAAAACGAGCTTGTTAAGTACATTTACCTATTTATCCTGTAATTTGCAGATGCTGTCGGCTATTTGGACACAATTTGCGAAAATTATAGCCGACAAATTATTTGCTATGGCGGAAGAAAAATCAGGATCACTTACGCCAACTACGGAAGGAAGTATTCATCAAAATGTGGATTTAGTTTCAACAGGAACTGCATCAGCCCCACTTCACTTAAAAAGGTCAGTATCTTTGTCGAATTAGATAAAAGGGAAAAAAAGATAAAACTTCAAGACAAGCGGAACTGCCTGGAAAGCCAGCAACGCGTTAACCCTCCAGTTTTGAAAATGAATTTTTTTGTATGTTCTGTTATCGAATATTTGAGATAAAGATCACCAGCCGCTGAAGATCCTTTATAATAGGAGTGTTTTTTCTGAATAGTCACCAATTAGTTATGTTTACTAAATTTACATTTCTGCTTTAATGCCTGCCGATCTGCCCACCGCGCCCATACCTTCAGTTCTCTTCCTTTCACATTCTCTCCCACAATTAAATATTCTAATCAAAAGTTTTTCCCTTCCTGGCACTACCTATCATCAAGGCTGAGTTAAAATTTTGTCCTAACACGCCCCTCTTCACAGGTCAGTCAGACATGTAACGGTCGATCATCATGCCTCCTCAAAGCATCAGACAAGGAATTTGGTGATCCATGTCCCTTCACTAAAAAGTACCTGGCTATTCGATACGAGTGTCATCCTTGAGTCATTGAGGACATCAGGTAGAGGTGAGTATTTCCTCGCCCTTTTTACATTTATACCTCTGGGAGAGATCGCAGATGAAAAGGAATACCCGTGAAAAGGCTCCTTATCCCCCAACCCATACTGTTTGACAAGAAAAATTGAATTTAATACTGAACTGACTTGATATCCTAAACACTACTCTCCTCCTTCCCTATAGATGAAAAATCCCGACCCTCGCGCCATAGCGAAGGTCGGGATTTTTCTAGAATGTGTCAGGTAAACATGTGATACAGGTAGACAACCCTGCGCCACATGACGACATGACTAAGTTAAAGATAACGAACCGACGTCTATCCAGTCATTTAAATGCTATCTGCCTTTACCAGGCAATGAAAGGGTGTGCAACTAACGTGTTGTTTACTGCTTGCAAAGGAATGACAGGGTCAAGTTACCTTCATTCTTAGGCCGTGAAATCTGATCATGTTGCTTTTTGGTTTTTTTAGAGCACTTTTTGGTCGCCGCCCGCGGAGAATTGCACGTGACAGAACGCGGCAACACATATTTTCGGTTGATCGTGGTAATCATGTAATCATAAATGGCTTAAATTTTAAAATGAGTGGGTAAATAAAGTGGTTAACGATACATTTTCGACCCCATTTCTCGTCTCATGTGAAGTTGAATTTATTCTGAAACTGACTCATACATCTCGGATTTTCCATTGTGCTTCTTTTGCGGCTAAAACTATCGACCATGAATCCAAAACCAGCTCAGATTTGGTTTTCAAAACTATCTCGGTGACCCTGAATCAAGCTGAAGTGAAAGTTAAGCCACCTTCATACCCTCTCTTTCCCCCGCCTTTTTTCAATGCATTTTCGCGTATCATGTTCTTTAAACGGCCAGAACACTGATGAAAACAGACGCTTTCGAAAACAGTTTCAAAAATGGTTTATTTTGAAAACGCATCGTTTTCAGAACATTCCGTTTCAAGTGTGACAGGTGAAAACGGAGACCATTAAAAAGGGTTACGAAAAATAATGGAAAAATGGATTATTTTACTATCGACTCCATCAGCGTTCTCGGGCGTTTTCGTGCGATTGATTGGTGAAAATGCATCAAAAGAAAGGCATTTTCATTTCAAGAAGACTGAAAGTACAAAATTTTATTTACCTAAAAAACTTTATTTTCCACTTTTGCTCCTTGGAAAGAAAGACTATTACATATCATAAAATTACTAAAAAATTCGTTTGTAGTCTCTTTGGTGTGCTATATCTTAATAACATATATCTTTAGGCTCGAATTTTTAATATACTCTGACCAATAATCTTTATCAATTTTCGAAAGCATTTGGCTTATGGAAGACCTAGCTAAATTGAATTACATGTCAAGACATGTTTCTACTTCCAGAATCCAAGCAAAGGTCTGAGAGATTTAATTAATGGTAAAAATATCCCGCTGGTTTTATGTTGAGCCTATGCCGCCCATTTATAAATTAGATAATACAAATTTTCGCCTGAGTTCGTTTTTCTTGTACCTAAAAATAAAAAAAAATATATAAGTTATATTTTGTTCGATCGTTATTTTTGGTCATTCCCACATAGGAAAATTAAAAATAAAGCAAATATCTCGGAAAAGACAGTACATACTGTAACTCTGCCTATTTTAAAATGTTAACCAAGCAAAATCAGAGTGCACGCAAACGCTAGTTATGACAACTGTTGATGTGCCTCGGAACGGTTCTTACACTATTGCTTTCATGAATCATAAACTTTACCTTTTATCCTGCAATACCACAGAAACAAATATTCCTGATTTACAATTTTGTGATGTGTTCTGGCGATTAAAGGTTAAACCTGTTACAGTAATGATCATTGAAGGCAGAGGTGCATTAAACTGTGAAAGCAAAATTGAATTTCAAACATCCTATTAAAAAAAGTCATCAATTCTAGACATAAAGTTTAACAGCGTTCCTCCTAGCAATATTCGCTAGTTACTCTGGCTTGCTTGTTGGTATCAAGATACATCTGTTGTGTCCAAATCGACCACTTGAAAGCAGTCAACCACAGATTTCCGACAGTATTTGTAGAATAATTCCTCTGCTCTCATGAGGATAATGTTCAAGTCCATTTTCATTGATAAACTGCCAAGAAAAAAGAGAAATTAACAAAGGAAATAATAAAATGTTCAAATTATACGACAACAGTGACATCTTAGATGTATCTAACCAGTAAACATGTAAAGCAATCATCAGGATCAAGAAACTGAACATCCATCATCAGTTCACTATAGAATGCTAACATAAGTGTCAATCTTACAAAACTCTAATTTTACAGCAGTTACAACTACTAATCAAGGCCAATAACAACCTTTAACAACTAAGATTAGTTAATATTGAAAGAGGTTTCCTTTCCGAGATTGCTGAGTTTTCTAAGAATGATTGTTCATAACGAAAGAAATATCTGCTTCTGGAGGAAAGAGAAAGGAAAAGAGCGTCTGTGTTTACCGCAGCTCAACAGATAGAGCATGCCCCTGCGCTGTACCTCTCTAAGGGAAACTGTTCTTTTTTCTTTTTCTTTTTTCTTTTTCATAACAGAGTTAGTTTGAGACACCAGAGTAGCTTAGTTGCCACGGAGTTCCATGAAGATAAGGCAACGTCTAAGTCAAACCCCGTTCAACCGTTGCACTATGAATCCTAAAAACGCCTAAGAGACACAAGCATCTAATTTCTCCTTACAATATCGACCCTGAACCACAAATGGAAGTCACGAGAATAACAAATATGATCACCAACTAAATAGGCTCTTAATCATAAATCAATTATCTCTGTCAACACCTTAGAAAATGTATGGAAAATAGTACGGAGTACATGCATATCGATGTTAGGGTGTGGTGGGTGAAGAATACACCCTCTGAATTTGCAAGTCATTCAATCATACCCCGTATAGCTCAAGTTAGGAATATACACTGTGGGTTCGCATTAAATGCAGCACACGTGCAAAAAAAAAAAAAAACAATCATCTCTCTCACCTGTGAATGGTGTTGTACACGGATGAAACCTCCGAACACCTCAATAAATTTTTTCTGTATTCCTCCAAAACAGCTAGACATACAAATACCTCAAACGAATAGTTTGTCATTTCCACAACCTGCGCATGAAATTCACCTCCTGTAGTAAGAACATAAAAAGTTAATGAGAGCAGCAGACTCAGAGACGAATAACTAATAGACGAATAAATTCTCAGAAACTGATTTTAAGACGTCTATATAGCCTATGGCAGGCCCTCGTCAACAGCGCTTCAGCGCGAGTGTTTCCTCGCCCGTAAGGAAGTATGGGACCTTGAGCAACGCGAGCCGCTGAAAGAAACGCACGTCCTGCAGCGCTACTAAATGATAAGAGTATACTCACAGGATAAGGTTGACGGAAAACAAAAATGATATTAAGATGGCCTAAAGCGCCACAATTCGTTGTTCTAAAAGTTTAAGTGTAGTTATAAAGTAAAAACCGAGAGTCGGGTAACACTGAAAGAGGTATTTGTTAAGCTACATGTATGCCGCTGGTTCCCCTTAATCGTCCAGAAAGCATCAATAACTGCTTCACAAGTCAGATCCAAAACTACGACAAATAATGACTCGGTACTAAGAATTGTTCATAAAATTCCCCAATTTTTCACCAAGTAATATCTTTCCCTCCTTCGCGCATCTAGACTTGAATTTTTGAAGACCTTTCCAATCACTTTGTAATGTTACTAATGACAATAGCTGACATGAACTAACCATCTATCTCTAATTGTTTAGCTCTCTGTCTCTCTCGCTCTCTTTCAGCCTCCATTGATGTCAATTCAAGGTGTTGACTGCTGATTATTTCAAACATTGTCAACGCGTCTTCGAATGAGAACTCTCTTTTAAAAGTCAAAACAAGCCACCTGGAGAAATAAAAAAAAACAGCATCCATTTTTATTTGCACAAATGAAATTTTTGACTATGCACAACGCTTGTCTCAATTGAGTCTGGTACATGTATATGGCTTCAGTTGCTAGCAAGTTCTACAGTTTAGTGCTAGAGCATCGTGGCGTAAATTCCAAAACTCAGAGGTTCAAGGCAAGTCACAGTCCGTCTTTTACTTTTTTTGGTATCGTTATTATTTATTGTCATTATTTTTACTTTATTTTGTCTCAAGCTCGAGACGAACGAACCATTTTTTTTAATACTTTCCTGGTTGTCTACATCAAAAGGGATGACTAGTCTGGTGACATAATCATATTCTCTAATAGATAGCTAAAAGATACATGAATACACACTTTACATGTACCTGTGAACAAATAGAAGATCTTCCATTCCGTTTGCTTTAAAATGATTAAAAAGCTGCTCGTCCATTTTCTTTAGTAGTAATCTGACATGTGCTGGTGATAATAAACAAACAAATAAAGAAAAAAAATAAGGAAACGAAAAAAAAGCACAAAATAATAAACAAAATTAAAACTAAAAAAACATGAGCAAAAGAAAACGTAAAGTAAAGCTAGGAAAAGCGAAATAAAAAACATTTTCTTGCAAAAATCATTTTGTTGTACATTTTTGATGCGCGTCTGCGTAGCTGTCATACATTGTAGTTCTAGATTTTCTTTCTTTAACATTTTCCATGCTATATTTAGCCAAAAGATATAAATAAATAAAAACAACAAGAAAACCAAAAACAAAGAAAAACATTAAATCCAACAAGTATGGACATAAACAACAATGACTTAGGATTACAAACTTACTTATTTTGTCTAGCATTCCATCATCTAGAAAGTCTCTCTTGACAGTTTCCATATAATTAGTGAAACACCAATAAGCCTGTGCTTCTGATCCCAGCACAATTAAAAATCTACTTAAAACATCATTCATTCCTTGAACATATCCTACATCTGGGGAAGAAAAAAAGAGAAAAGAATTTTGACCCAAAATAAGAAAAGAAGAGCGTTTGTGAATGATCATGCTGTTCCAGAACCTTGTATTTTAGTTGGGGAGGCATTGGAGAAGAGGTTGAATTGAAACTCAATGGGATACAGGTATCTTCAGAATCATCTCTACCTTCTTAGGTATGACCAAGTCCTTTAACTAGAAGTCATGGTATTCTTGGATAAAAATCTCAAACTTTTGACTTAAAAACTAGAGAAGTTGTTGTATTTCCTCAAATAAATGCCCACATTTTAATAAGCACCCTCCCCCAAACAGGCACTCACCCCTGAGGCCATAATATCAAATAAAGGCCCCCCCTTGAATATACTCCCTTATCCTCCCTCACTATCTTAAATAAGTGGGAATACAAGGTAAAATAGCTGTTTCTATTGCCACTTTATTTCAAGTTTTTTTGCACTTCAACAACAAGGAAAGCAGTTCAGGTGAATAGTTTCTTTACAAGCTCCCCCCCCCCCCTGAATAAGTGCCTTCCTTCCAATAAGTGCTCCTCCTTTTAGCTGAAATTTCAAATAACTACTCAAGGAAACAAGGCATACTGATTTTTTGTCCCTGCCAAGTCAAAAAAAGAAAAAAAAAGCTATAATACTACTGGATAAAATTTTACAAATAGATACTGTAACAATAAATTTGACTGGCAATACCTTGATGATATGCACTGTATGTTATTAAAATATCTCGTAGCACAAGAAGATTTTGATTCCCTTTTCCCCTGAAAGCAAAATCAAAAATGCAAAAGTAACCTGAGATGCATTGTACTTTACCTGAAAACTGAAGGAAAATCATCACAATTACAAAATAAAAATAACAATAACATACACTGTTTGTAGTGAACACACCGATAAATTCTCAAAATTTAATTACATAGCCAGTGACATTGAAATGTATGAAGAAATGATTTAAATAAAAATAATTTATAATGATAACAAAGGTGAGTAAATAAAAATCAAATGAGGTAAGGGCAGAGAGTATATACCTGATGATCAGGATACCAGAACAGAATGACATAGGGAAACTCAAGAGAAAATTCTGACTGATCATATTTGGCACAAAAACTATTTAAATATGATAATACTGCACAGAGGTTGGAGACTAGCAAACAGCAGAACAACATTATCACAAAGTTATACTTGTATTGAGTGGTCATGCACAGGGAATGGTGGGTTAATGCCATTTCATGCCATTAGTGACCACTTGTGCTTGCTCAAACATGCTTGTCATACATTGATTTTGGGAGATAAACATGTATAACATTTCACTTGAAACATTATTCTTAATTTGACTTGACTGGTTCCACTTGAAGTGACTGCTCAACACAAGTGTGGAGGACTGTAAAACAAACAGGCTGTTGGCAGTCAGTTAAGGGTGACCAGGGCTGTTTAATAAAGGTGACTGCTTAATAGTGTGGTAATTACTGATGTTGAGGGGAAAAAATTTCTAGACTTTGAAACCAACTGCTTAATACAGGGTGACCACTTATATGGTATGGCTTAATTCAGGTTCCATTTCAGTTTCTGCAGAGTACACTGTACCTCATCATTTGCTTTCATTCTCTTTATTCCAAAGAGCTACATGTAGTTAGAGTACTGCTTGCATTTGTGTTAACTGCGCAGACAAATTTCATATGCTCAGACACAGGGTAGTCAGATGCGTATATACAATTTTTTACATGTATGGTTGAAAAAAATGCATGACTCACGTGCCCTTGTTCTCCAGTGCTATAAGTTTCCTTTGTGTTACATTGTTGTGTAAAACAAATAACTTTTAGGTTTGAAAAAAGCAGATAAGGAATTTTAAATTCTTTTTTTTTTTTAAATTGAAGTTCCTTTTGCTCACAGAATCATATTATTAGGTACATGTATCATGAAAAGAAACCTTACTCAAAGAAAGCTTGTCCTCTGTCTGTCCTTGGCACATCTTTATCAATTACTCTGATCGATGAATACAATTTCTGGATTTCTATAGGTTGGCGATCTGCCTTAAACTAATGAAAAAACATGACATGGTTTGGATAAATTTGTCGTCTAAACAGATCAGTTTGTTATCTATAAACTTCTACATCATTCATGTAATTCAGGCTATATAGTGAACACTTTGCAAAAACTTATGGAAAAACAAACTTATAAAAGTCACACTACTAGGCAACTCATTTTGCATCTCCTAGTCAGACTCAAGAATACAGAAAGGCTGGATTTTCATCCCAATGAAAGAGTGAAAATGAAAACAACTGAAAGCCAAACTTCCTCTCAGCATTACTGAAAAATAGCAAGCCAGTTTAAGAGCTGTAATATATTTAGCATGATGTCACTGTAAATGGAAAGTTGAAGATCAGTACTGTTTTACGTGTAGTTTGAATCTTATTTCCTCATAACTTATTACCAAGCCCCTCTATGGTTAATATGCATAATAATTCAATGTACTCGTAATTGAATTATTTGTTACATTTAACTATACCCAATCAAAAAGGAATAAAATTAAAAACCAAGACTTAATGAAACCACAAAATATATTTATGTACGTCACAGTTTCAAATGATTTCAGTAAGAAAAGGTTTTCAGCCTGGTTTAAGTTGTATCTTCCTTTGTTTGCTTTACTTGGAAAAAGCAAAACATGAATGAAACTAGGTCAGCACCATTTCCACAATCTGCATTTCATTTTAAACTACAAAATTATCTCAGACAAATCTTTGCTCTTTGATTAAGAAACACCATTTACTCCCCTGCAACATCATTTTGATCTAAATTATTTTCATTTTAAGCTACAAAATTATCTCAGACAAACCTTTGCTCTCAGATTATGAAACACCATTTGCTCCCCTGTAATAACATTTTTGATCTACATTTCATTTTAAACTACAAAACTATCTCAGACGAACCTTTGCTGTAAGATTAAGAAACACCATTTGCTCCTCATCCACTACCTCTTTTGATAAGCCATCCGTGACATCATCTCTTACAGTGTTATTAATTTGATTGTTCTTACATTCTCTCAGATAGAGAGGTATTGACTCAGGAACATCAGGATCCACTGGAGGTTTATAATTCTTTAAAAGCTCTTTCCATCTCATTTTCAGTGCTCCATATTGTGCTATATTTTCAGCAGCTAAGGCTTCTCTTTCCCTACAAAGTGATTAACATGCAACTCCTTCCCATAATATTCATACATTATTCAGAAAAAAAGTAATAACAATACTCAAACTTATCAAGTAGAAGCTTGTTATCTTGATCAAACACCAAATTCTTTTAACTAATTTACAAGGAAATGTATAGCAGCTAGAAAGTAGAGTTAGCAATCAGATATTGAAAGTTTAAGGCTTAAAACATTTCTAACCTCCTTGTTGATGAAAATGGATACAGCTCAAACAAAAAACTCCAGACTTCCTTTCTTATCTTGCAGTCAATACCACCTTCAATGAATCCAAACAAACACCAAATTATTTTTAGATTACTTCAGAACCCCAACAGAATAATATGATAATCAAAATCCAACCTATGGAATTGTTTGTAGAATGTTAATGAATTTTATTAGTTTCTCATAAAAAAAAATTGATTTTAACTTTAAATGTCAACTCCACTTGTTATTGTATATTGACTGTATGCTCTTGACCATTCTGAGTTTTCAAAGTAAGTCTTATATGTAATAAACCTAGTTATCTACAAGTCCTCTCTGAATAAAAATGTCTGAGTGTATCCAGCATTGGTATACTAGTGGAAATCAACATATTTTATCTATCACAAGCCTATCCTGTAGGTGCTATAATGATCACTTTGCTTTAAATGAAAAATAATTAATGTTCTACCCTTTGAGGAAAGAAAACAAAAGCAAAACGTGCATTTTAACTCAAGTAGTTACAGAGAAATACAGTACATACATACTGTTACCTTTAAATACTGCTTTTCTGAGAGCAGACTCATTCACCACTCTGCCATCTCTATCTAAGAAAGCTTCCCAAGCATTGCAATGCAGCGCTCGTGTGCGCTCGCTGATTTGAACAGGGCTTTCACCATTAAACTGGGAAGTTTCTGGATCATCAAAAGATTTCTGCCAATCATCCTGAGAACTCTCACTTTCTGGAGAACCGCTAGAGTTCTCGCACATCACCACAACGAGCTAAACAGTTTTCCACATCTTGCCAAAAAGTGACTGCAATAATAAGTAATAAGAGTTTGAGAAATCGAAATAGTGCGAAGTTCAATTAAGTGACAACCAAATGACAACAAGAACAAACAATTTATCTCAGTGTGATCACAGAAAGCGCAATCTCAGCAAACTAGTTTCGAACCTGATATCCTTCAGCGTCATCACGTTCCGTACTTGAACACAGATAATTTGCATCCGGCCTCAGAAAATAAAGTTGTGTTTATTTCTCCGATCATACGTATGTGCCGGACTAATTTGTCAAAGTAATAAAAAAATTGGCAAGCACTTCAGAGAAATGTTGCTTTAAGCTAGTAAACAAAACTTGGCAACACGATCTCATTCACACGATTGCTTTCAAAATTACCTTTGACGGCCGGAAGTTAGCAAGCATCACGAGGTTTCTCGCTGCTAGTTTACAACTACATTGAACGGCCATCTAGGTTCTGTTGATCTCCGATTGATAAATTTCGCTCAAATTATCGTATGAATCCCAACTTATTGCCGAGAAAACAAGCTCTCTTTGGAAGAAAAGCTCTGAAGGGCTATCGATGGTGTAAGCTTATCTAGACAAATAACCAAACATTAGCATGTAAGACTGGATTACACTAATGGCTATTTAGCACCATTATACACTCTCGAACAACCTCATTGAGACATTTAATACTCACCATTTCTAAGACTATTTGTACACAAAAACCTGTACGAGTTGCTTGGGAAGAGATCTACATCACATTCCTATGAGTTTATTCGACTTTTGGCAGAAGGCCAGGACGCAAAGCATCAAAGGAAGGGTTACAAAGGCACAACATGGCGAATCGTAGAGGGCTGTTCTCTTCGGTGTTCAACGAATGACTGGCTTATTTCGATGAAATCTTGTTTCGAAAGAGATGAATTACATAGCTAAATCTGTAGTCTCAAACAAGTTATCCTCCGTGGGAAAGAACTTAGGATGGGATGATAAAGATGATCAAGAGGGAGAAGAAGAAGGAATATCAGAGAAGGAACTTCGCAAAATCCAGGAGAAGAACGCAGCGGCGAGAGCTAAACGACAAGACCAACATGCCAAACGGAACGCTGAGAGAGAGAAGAAACGCGATGAAATACGCGCTAAATATGGACTGAAAGAGGGCCAAGCAAAGAGCAATGGCAGCGGCAGTTCCAGCAGCAGCAGAAAAACAAGCTTTGATGATATCGACACCGAAACAACGAAGGAGAAACAATGCCTCGTGATGTAAAGTTGAACAGTTGAGCAAAATGTATTTTTGAATTTGTGACGCAGTTGTGGTAAATGCATTTATCTACGCCCGAAAATTGAATTCTGTTCTTTTTTTTCACTCCAAAATAAGAAGGTGAAATGAAACAAGTATCGTTCAACTATTATAAATTCATTCGGGAACTGTATTCTATTTTTGTGTGAAATATAGTATCCACGGTCCTCAGCCTTGTCAAGCCTAAATATTGAAAACTTGATATTATCTCAGTTATTTTTGTATGTAGCTTAAGAACAAGAAATTATATGCATGCTTGGATTTATAGTACTTTGAGTAGGCATAAATGTACAAACAGCACTGTTCATGACTTATGTGTAGACTATAAAAGTTGCCCAGTTTTGGGCCAATATCAGTTTCAATTTATGGTTGTTTCGATTCTGAGTCAATTCAAAACATAGACCAAGTCGATTCAATACTCGTGGAAATTTGATTTGATGCCACTTCAGATGCAGTATTTGTAATTTGGTCAATGTTGATGATAAGAAACTGGACTACTTGAATGGAAACTGAGCGACTCATTCCTAAGCATTACATTAAGCCTTTAACTCCCTTCTCAAATTTGTAATTCTCCTTACTATCAACCATACCATTCCTATAATGTTAGTTCAGCGAACTTAGTATTGGATCAACTGATTATCCCCAAAATGATATTTTTCTTTATTCTCATCACTTGTCTGGTTGATATTGTATTGAGAAATTCTGTCTTGGTCACTCATGGGAGTTAAAGGGTTAAAGTCGTTCTGGGAGAAGGAAGCCAAACTTTCTACACTTGTGGTAACTGAGTGGAATATGTACAGGTGAAAATTCATTTTTTTTGCAAGGACAAAAGGCTATGGTGAATTGCATTCTAAAATTGCCAATCGCCCAACATGCAAGATGTTTACCCTCAATCATCAAAAAGTAATAAAGTAGAATTAGTCGTCAAATCTCCTCGGTATTTCTCGTTGGCTGCCTCTATACAGTCGTCTAGTAAATATTCCCAGAAGCCAAATGTTTCATTTCTCGTAGGATGATGTGCAACGCCTATGGTTTCGCCTAGGGTGCTCAATTAAACCCTTCCATTAGAAATAACGACACAATTTGTCGACTAGATTTTTTACTGTTAACCCTCCTTGCGAAAAAATACAGAGTATAGAAACCTTTAAGTGTCAACTGATTTGAACTTTAACCATTTACAATGAGAACGGTTTATCTTGAACTCTCAAAATTTATTTGGTATTTTTCTATGGACGAGATCATGAAACGTCACAAGTAATAAAACTAAGACGAGACATTTTTCTTTCAAATCCGAAAACAAACTAAGCAGGTTGAAATTCATTAACGTTTAACGTTTACTTGTTCTCTTTGAAGAGAGGCTAAGACAAACAACAGGTTGGTCAAACCATATGTCTTGTTTTGGATGCCTCTTGAAACTACGTTTTGAATAAATTTAAGAAATGGGAGATCAACGGAGCAAGAGTTTCTAAAGTTCACTCCACGGTACGTCCGATTGTAGGTGATCGAGATGGGCTGAAAACAATTAATTATTAATAAATTAAGGAGATCAAAGTTTATTTTTCAGGTATAAATATTGACTTTCTGAGAGGCTTGCATGTATTCGACTTGAACTGAAGCCAATAGGCTCAAAATTTAAGAATTCTTTTTAATGACTCTTTCATGTTAAGTAAAATTAAGCTCGTAAAATAATTGAAATTATCAAGGGGGACCAACAAATTTGACCAGCAGAGCCGCTGTGTGCGTAAAAACTAAGAGGTTTGTTACAAAGCAATAGGATCTTACCGCAAGGAAACCAAATAGTGATGAAACAAAGGCACCTGGTAAATCGGAATGAAGAAAAGAGATCACTAACAAATTACCTCCAGCGCGGGAAAGCTCGAGTGACCTTTCGAGTGTGAAATTTGCCTCTGATTGGTTTAGGGACTGATGCGACTTTTCACGACCACCACGGAGCTAAGCTTAGTAAAGCAAAACCGAAGGAATCCCGAATTGTACTTGTGACAGGCAAGGGAAAATTTATTTCATCCATTTTTCACATTGTTCACTTGATCTGTTAATTGATTTCTTTCTGCAATTTCTTTTCATTCAATTGAGAACCCGTTACGAGTTTTTCACACGTTAGATCTTCTCTTGCTCCAGATGATTATTTAGTGGAGTTCTGGGACAGAGATGTTGTGGTAGGAATGAGGTGCAAATAATTCCACAAACAAGAAAAAAGGACTTTTTGAACTCTTTAATCACTCTAAAGAAGCTTGACATTTCTCTTTTAACTCTTATTTTGTCTTGGTTCAGTTTAGTACTCAAGACAAGTGATGGCAAGTTCTAAAACTTTACTGGTCTGATTTTCATCTCAGCTCTCTTGGCGGAGTAGTGATATCCTTTCCAAGATGACCAATTGACTCCATCAGCATATGAAGAGTGCTTCCCATGATGATAAACACCATTCAAGTTTGATGCATGACATCCTCTGTACCACCAGGCTCCTTTGTATTTCACAGCACAGTTACTGCTCCAGGTGTCATTGTCCTGATCTTTGGTTGTGAATGGAAAACCCCGATGCTAAGAGAGGGAATCACCTGCAGTACCTGGAAAAAGAGAAGGGAAAAAAGTGAAGGCCAAGAGATTACAATTGGTGGAGACAGAACTCTGAGGCTACACTGAAGGCTAACACAGTCTCCATATGACAAACTGAGACAAACATACCTTTTAAGTAAAGTACGATACGAAAACAAAGATGTGACGTCGATTACATCTGAATATATGATTCCGCTCTTTGTTAAGAAAATGATCAAGTGTTTAAATCATTGAAAACCAGTTGGTATCAATCCAAATTTCGGAATTTGACCAGTGCAAGACCCGTGCCTACTTTCCCGTGGAGATCTTAAAAAATAACGAATGGGCTGACGTAGATTTTAGCTCACCTGAGTAGGTTCCAAGACTCAACTGGTACTTAGCTCTTTCACTTGCCACTGCAAACAGGTCGTATTCGGCATAAGCGTTTTTACCTGTAGTATCTTCCAGATCGACTCGAAGTTTGTTCTTTGTTTTTGTCAGGCGGTTTACCTTATCGAGCCCCAGCCAAAACTCTCCGTTCGGGTTACCGAAGCCATTCTTGTAGTCAGCCCAGCCGCGGTAGAAATTAACGGAGCCATCCAGTCTCTTTTGGAACACTGTCCATCCTCCACCAGCTGTGGTTTGGTCACAGAAGACATCGAAGGTGCCTGAACCATCAGGATCGATGGCGTACACTCCGCTGACTTTTTGACCGGATTTGTAAAGCTCAGCGCAGTTCCTCTTAACTGTGAGAATAAGTAAATTAAATGTGAAAAATTTTAGTAATTTCATTTCCAGTCTCCGATCAGGGGCGCTGCCACAGCGAACAGTTTCTCGCTGTCGGGAGAAGACCGAAAACCGTGATCATTGGCAAGGATTGGCTTTAAATTAATTTGTCGACTCATTTCTCGAGTTTACCTTTGGGGTTCTGATTTCCTTTGAGAATGTTGATGTCAGTTTGCATGTGGGCTAGCCGTTTCTCTATATCCTTTAACATAGCTTCCATCTTCTTGTTACATTTCTTTATCTCGATAGGTTTTGCCGAAACTTGATTTGTCACAAAGAACGTTAAGAACAGCAAACCGGCAAGAAAATTCAAGGAAACGAAAGTCATCGCACCAATGGAATAGCTTATCGTCCTTTTCGAATCGAGTGTGATCACTGCTGACAAGTCTGCACTAAACGTGAATGTCAATACATTTCATAGAAAAAACAAAACTGAATAATGAGTCACTCATTTTGGAACATGAAACATTTTCCTGTTGAACACGTGCGCTTGTGAGCAATTTTTGAGGTCGGGTGGACAGATCTAGACAAACAAACATCGGAAACTGAAATCCGATGAAAAATTGTTAATTTCTCGCACACATGGACCTGACGTTTGGCCAAGTTTGTGTGCGAGTTATCAAGGTCTAAACTCCTTCGGTAGACGAACTAAACCATTGTAGTTTTCAAATCAAAACATTTATCTTTTTTTATCCTGTGTGTCATTTGCGAATAATTTATTAATTGTAAAGAATCAAATGTGTCTAAATTTGTATTCACAAATAGGAATTGACGGCTGGCGCATCATCACACAAAGTTTTCATGCTACTTTAAGGCTGTGTTGGAAGTATCGCTTTTGGAAGGTTTGCACAAAATCTTGATCGTGGAGTTAATTTTACCAGTTCAAAGAAGATCATACAAAATAGGTCGTTCTTGAAACAAATACAAAATATTTCAGTTCATACAAGGTTATTTCATGTCAGACCTCAATGCGCAGTTCATTCAATAAGCAATATTTCCTTTATCACTCGCCGGCGTTACACACGAACTGAGAAAACGGTCTTATTTCCCCCGTTACTTTTAGACCTGTTAGCATGTATCAAGCACCGCTGCACTTCCTAACATTCCGTAAATAGACTGATAAATCGAATTACTCGTCTATCAAACTGAAGAATTACAGCTCCAACCGTAGATGTCGGTGAACTAAGAAAGGGTATAAACCACTTCGATTGCGTTTCCGAGTTCGTTTAAGTTGACTATTTCCCGACTAACTGAGCGCTCTCTTATTAAGCTTCTTTTTCGAAAGCAGCACGACATGTTTACAGTCGACGTTTTCCTTCAGCTGACTGGATCGGTTCCACTACATCAACTCTTTAAATTTGTGATGACTTCATGATATCTCGCGATTTATGGAATCCACCTACCTATTCTTATATAGCTAGTCGGCAATGTCAAAAAAAGGAAACAAACTACAAAACGTCACAAAAAAAAAACGCCTCACTGAAGCTAAATTTAAGATTAGATTTCTAGCAAGTTTTGCTCAACCTGATAAATTCGATTTATCAAGATTAAACTTGTGCATAACCTTTCCGGCAAAACTGTATTTTGTTTAACGAGACAATTCTGTTTTATCCACTGAGTTGATAGTGTAAATTAGCCACCATAAAGAGTTTCTAAAGCTGACGTTTCGAGCGTTAGCCCGCCTTCGTAATTCGCTCCGACGAAAAGAAGAGGCTGTTAGCAGGATTTCAACAGAGTTAACCGTTAGCCGTAGAACCGTCATGTAACCATAAAAAGAAATTCTGGCGACTGCAATGGAATGATATGAACTGTTAACCGTAAAATGACCAAAAATTTTAACCGTTAGCCGTAAAAGCAATCACCCCTTTGAGACCCCTGGATAAGTAATCATGCAATCACGATGATGTTTCGCGTTTGACCCCAGGGCAAGTAGATACGAACCACTTTTGCATAAGCTTCTAATTCAAACGCAAATTCTTACCGAAACTTAGAGTCGTATCGTGGGAATGAGTTAGCGCGCGCTCATGGTCAATATCTGAGCTGAAGTAGCGCAAATTCTTCCTCGCATTCGTCGTTTGCCAAATATATTGAATGGAAATTAAGTTGATTCTCTCGTTCAAGACCACGAGGCATCTTTATAACTAGTTCTCGAAAACCAAGCCTTTGAAAAAATAGCAGGAATCTTTTTTGGCCCCAGAATTTATTCTTTTCCCCGTTAGGGTATTTCGAAAAAGATTTTGATACCGCAAACGGCCTCCTTCTTAAGGTTAGGGAGTCTGTAACCTTCTTATTCAACAGATGCACGTCAACAATGAATCCATTTGTTAAATAGACTTAGGCGACCATAAATGCTAATTTTTCAATTTCACTGCCATTCAGTTCATTTGTACTACCCCCAGGCTGTTGAAGAGTATATTTCCGAGATTATGAAGTCGTGCAGTTTGCTTTTCCAAATTTTCCTTTGGAAAGAACATTATACAGTTGGGAAGATTTTGGAAAGCTGTGCCAAAACGTATTATTCTTGACCAATCTCAAGGGGTTGCCATTCTTCGTGGGATAAGGGGTAACTGAGCCACCGTGTTTTTTAACAACAACATTTTAACAAGAATATCACGATTTGGCTCACTGGCGAACGTCGGGCCATGACTTAGGCACAATGTATTTGTAATTAACTATTTTTATACACTATCTGAAAGATTTGGCTTTTTCGCCAAATAAAATAATTTTCCTTTCCTCTTTCGAAGGTCGATGATGGGTGGGTAGTACTTTAAAGAGCGTACCCAACTAATGAGTTTGTTGATCAAACTATACATGTATCAGATCAATTTATTGTTATTTTACGCTGTTACCCGACTACCATTGAAGTAATTTCCATTTCTCCTTTTGAAAGAAACGCAGATAAAAGTGTACACAGTCAATACTTTTACATTACTGAATGTAAATATTTTATTTTCATGTCTTGAACTATGCTCGCAAAAAGTTGCATTGGCCAGTCTGTTCTATAAGTTAATGTTAGGTGCGTATATTAAGAGATTCGAGGTGACTCGATTTAAAGCTCGGTAGCAGTTAAATTTAAAAAATTTCATTTTAATTTAAATAAAAAAACAAACAAACAAAAAAACAAAAAATCTATCACAGTTACGGAACTCGTAGCCTTATCATGTTTTCATGTTTCGTGTTTACCTCACATTATTGTCAGGCTACTTACGAGGTGCATTTTAATTAAGTAAGCCTGAGGAAATGTTTCTTTTTGTTATTTCACTTTACACTTTGTTCTTTCGCTCTCTTTTGCTTGTTTCATAAGAGTCATTAAGGGTCTCAAAGATGGTTTCCAAATTTTTTTCTTATATGAAAATCGACTGGTTAACAGACCGGACGGTAATGAAAGTTTTACTTCTACAGCCACAATGCAATAAAATCAGAAGACCGAAAAGACAACCTTAAAAATCTAATCTTGGAACAGTGATATCGAATACGTTACATAACAGCTACGAATATCAGACATAGTTTGAAGCTACACTGGTTTGCAGATTTAATGAATGTAACCGAAGAAGTTACAATTCATAGACCCAACGTTTCGACACTCCTGTCTAGTGCCTTCATCAGGGGTGATCTAAACGCTGCAACAAGAGGTCCTTTTATATGATCACTAATTAGCGGCCTTTTTTCTGACGAGGTGTAAATAGGCGTCAGGAAGCAGACCGCCATCGTCACGATTTAAAGGAGCGTGGGCGGAGTTAATGTGCCAAGCCTCCAAACAAAGGCGCTGGTGGTAACGCCGATTAGTAGTGATAATTTTAGAATTATCCCACCCAATTGTATGGTTGGTTAGGCAAGTATGCTCCGATAAAGCTGAATTTTCCTTTTTGCAAAGAAAAACCGCTTTTTGGTGCTCTTTTAACCGTGTACCAAACTGGCGTTTGGTCTGTCCGATGTATTCGTTATCACAGTCATTGCAAGGAATAGAATAAATGGCGTCGGTTCGTTGTTCTTTCGTGACAGGATCCTTAGGTTTGGCGAAAATATGCCCCAAAGTCTGAAAAGGTTTTTGAGCAACTTTAACGTTGTGGCTATTCAAAATTCTCTTGATGGGTTCAGTAACACCCTGTATGTAAGGAATAACAGCAAAACCAGTCGCTGGTTCCCTTCATCAAGAGCGTTACTATTTGTAACTGGTTTTTGGCAGTTACGGAGAAAAGTTTTTGTATAGCCATTTGCCTTTAGGACATTGGAAACATATCTCCTCTCCTCAGCCTTCGAATCGAGTGATGATGGTAGACAATCAGCCCTCCTAAGTAAAGTTTTGGCTACAGACTTTTTATGGCAAATAGGATGGTGAGAATCGAAAGCGAGGTATTTGTCGGTGTGGGTGGGTTTACGATAGACACTTGTCTCTAAATTACCCTGAACCCCTCTAGACACATTTAAATCAAGAAAGGGCAAATGTCTATCCTTTTCACGTTCAAGGGTGAATTGGATCGACGGCTCTACTGAATTCAAATGCGACAAGAGGCGCTCCGCTTCATTTCCGGATACCGCAGAAATAACATCATCGACATATCGTTTCCAGAAAAAGGGTTTAACCGGTGAAGTGGCTAAGGCCCTTTGTTCCACGTCTTCCATTACCATGTTAGCAATGACAGCAGAAACAGGCGAACCCATAGCTGTACCAAAAACTTGTTGATAGTATGTGCCGTTATATGTAAATTGCGTGGTTTTGAGGCAAAAAGACAGCAGATGAATAATATCCTCCACAGGCAAAGAAGTTCTTTGTCCTAGGGAAGCATCTTCTCTGAGTCTTTCCTCCGCAACCTTAACGGCAAGATCAACTGGGATTTTAGTGAAGAGCGAAACAACGTCGAAAGATACTAATTCTTCACAAGCGTCAAGAGTTTTATCTCTTATGAAATCCGTAAATTCGCAGGAATTTCTGACAGTGTAATCAGTATTCCCAGTATTCCCCCTTTCTTGATTTAAATGTGTCTAGAGGGGTTCAGGGTAATTTAGAGACAAGTGTCTATCGTAAACCCACCCACACCGACAAATACCTCGCTTTCGATTCTCACCATCCTATTTGCCATAAAAAGTCTGTAGCCAAAACTTTACTTAGGAGGGCTGATTGTCTGCCATCATCACTCGATTCGAAGGCTGAGGAGAGGAGATATGTTTCCAATGTCCTAAAGGCAAATGGCTATACAAAAACTTTTCTCCGTAACTGCCAAAAACCAGTTACAAATAGTAACGCTCTTGATGAAGGGAACCAGCGACTGGTTTTGCTGTTATTCCTTACATACAGGGTGTTACTGAACCCATCAAGAGAATTTTGAATAGCCACAACGTTAAAGTTGCTCAAAAACCTTTTCAGACTTTGGGGCATATTTTCGCCAAACCTAAGGATCCTGTCACGAAAGAACAACGAACCGACGCCATTTATTCTATTCCTTGCAATGACTGTGATAACGAATACATCGGACAGACCAAACGCCAGTTTGGTACACGGTTAAAAGAGCACCAAAAAGCGGTTTTTCTTTGCAAAAAGGAAAATTCAGCTTTATCGGAGCATACTTGCCTAACCAACCATACAATTGGGTGGGATAATTCTAAAATTATCACTACTAATCGGCGTTACCACCAGCGCCTTTGTTTGGAGGCTTGGCACATTAACTCCGCCCATGCTCCTTTAAATCGTGACGATGGCGGTCTGCTTCCTGACGCCTATTTACACCTCGTCAGAAAAAAGGCCGCTAATTAGTGATCATATAAAAGGACCTCTTGTTGCAGCGTTTAGATCACCCCTGATGAAGGCACTAGACAGGAGTGTCGAAACGTTGGGTCTATGAATTGTAACTTCTTCGGTTACATTCATTAAATCTGCAAACCAGTGTAGCTTCAAACTATGTCTGATTGTCCACCTGGTTGCCGTGTGAACTTTAATATATTTTAGCTACGAATATCTCAACTAAATTTCCTGAGGTTATTCAATGTCTGCGATGATGCAGCGGACGCGATTGCATCTTGTAAAGTTAAAATCAAGTGAGAATTTCACTCTTTAAGAAAGTGCTCTTCATACAACGTTTGTAATAGTGAAGTTTTAGGTTAGATTTTAAAATGTCCTGGTAAATTTTCAGTAATACTTGAATATAAAAGTAAAAGAGATGATGAAAATCATGATCATAACATTGTTTACTTTGCATCTACAATGCATCTTTGCCAGCAGAGGCATTCATTACTGTGCTAAGATTATCTCTTTCCTTTTTTTGAGGGAATATTTGATTTAAAATGCCTTGGTCATTGAATTAGTAAAAGTTTGCTTTAGGATCGTGGAATCCATGCTGTAAATGACGTGAAAGGTTTTGGGAAGTAACACGTTGTGACTTTGAGTGGCCGAGGGGAAAGACATGATAGTTTAAGGTGATTCCTCAGAAAAAAAGTTATCGAACAATTTTTTTTAAACTTCCCTTAAATGTTCCCTACCCATGTCTGTTTCGAAAAATACAATGAAAAAGATAGGTCACCAGGCTTGTTTAAGAGATATGATGAGCCAAACTTATCCCATGATCTTAAAGTAATACTTGAAACAAATATGATAGGTAGAAAGTCTCGAGCTTGTGAAACAATTCGGTATATAATTTGTAGGAGAATCACGCAAATTTAAACGACATCGACTCAAAACGTTCATCGCGTGGTCCCTTTCAAGGTCGTAATCTGCATCCTCGAGTTACTGGCTTCAAGCAAGCTTCTAGGGGTTCTCTTTATTTCCCTTCGAAGCATTTTTCTTTTATTTCCCCAATTTATAGAGGATAAATTGTACACCAAAATTATGCAATAGAAAATTCTCCTATTGTTCAATGAATGACTGACTTATTTCGATGAAATCTTGTTTCGGAAGAGATGAATTACATAGCTAAATCTGTAGCCTCAAACAAATTATCCTCCGTGGGAAAGAACTTAGGATGGGATGATAAAGATGATCAAGAGGGAGAAGAAGGAATATCAGAGAAGGAACTTCGCAAGATCCAGGAGAAGAACGCAGCGGCGAGAGCTAAACGACAAGACCAACATGCCAAACGGAACGCTGAGAGAGAGAAGAAACGCGATGAAATACGCGCTAAATATGGACTGAAAGAGGGCCAAGCAAAGAGCAATAGCAGCGGCAGTTCCAGCAGCAGCAGAAAAACAAGCCTTGATGATATTGACACAGAAACAACGAAGGAATAATAATGCCTCGAGATGTAAAGCTGAATAATTGAGCAAAAGATATTTTTTGAATTTGTGACGCATTTGTGGCAAATGCATTTATCTACGCCCAAAAATTGAATTCTGTTCTTTTTTTTCACTCCAAAATAAGAAGGTGAAGCGAAACAAGTATTGTTAAGCTAATATAAATTCATTCGGGAATTGTATTCTATTTTTGTGTGAAATCTAGTATCCATGGTCCTCAGCCTTGTCAAGCCTAACTATTGAAAACTTGATATTTACTTTTATCACATTAACTGCGGTGTTATACAAGGATTTCCAGCCCTGAGAAAAGCCGTAACAGCACAACATCGTATTTTTTCACGTGTGTTGATATAGCCAATCAGCTGCTTACACGTCACTCGCCTTTGACGCCACTCGGTCAGGTTGATGAATGAACACCAAAGCCCTCACGATTCTCAATACAAGTTGATAGTTGGAGCTTTCCCGAATTATGGCGGATAAAACACTTAAAATCCGTATCGCTGACAGACAATGAAGTTCAAACTTTCCTGAAAGAGGAAGAAAACCAATACAATAAAAGAAAAACCGAAAGTTGCGTATTCAGTGGCTTTGGTGTTAACATTTCTTTTGGCTGAGAATGAAAATCGACAACTGTAAGATTTGCCTACGGAGCCCTGTAAGTGCCATACATGTGTGCGTACAGCATCATACATGTGTGCATACAGCATGATATCCTGGCGCACACTTTCTTAACTGTTCTAACAGTATTCTGTTTACATCGGTCACCATTGTGACTTGTTAATGAACGAAGAGACCTGGGCAAGGTATCTATGGCGAGAAAGAACAGGCACAAGGGGCAGGAATATTCAATACGTTTCCGGTCGACAATTCTCATAAATGTGAAGCTACATTAACTTCTCTATCTCGTTCACAAGAATCAAATAAAGATTCTGAGCCTCATAAACATTTTCTGGCATTCTAAGACCTTCTTCTGTCATGATTACCTCGGAAAGTGCATTAAATTCAAGAGATGAATTCATAGGAAGGTCAGAACAACCCATGTCTCTAGCAACATCTGAGTCGTCAATGTCAACATTGTGCTTGCAATCTATAGCTCCTGTCATTTCAGGATGATAGTACAAGAGACAAGGTCGACCATGGGAGAACTGTTGTTCCTTGTTGAGGGTCGAATCCGATGCAGGTTCCACAGTCGGGTCACTCTTTGGAGTTCCTCACGGATAATAGCCATGTAACAAAACAACAGATATTCTACAAGCACAGCAATGGTGTCAAAGTGCAGTCCCCTGTTCCTCAAATCTTTAAAATGAGTAATCCACCAATCAGAAGCTCCTCTTCGCAGTTGCCCCCACCATGCTTCTATTCTTTGATTAGCAACTGATCGTCCATAAAGAAAGCTTTTCTCCCCTGACTAATTATCTCCTTCTTCATGTCGTAGATAACGTTGAATAGCAGCGATTCTCACGTTTTCTGTTCCCATGTCTCCACGAATTACACTGGCGGTGCCTCCAACATTTTGTACACAGTTAATGAAATAGCTAGCTACAATACCGGGATGATCATTCGTACACCCAACTTCAAGCCACATGATTTGTCTCGAATATCCGTCAATGCAACCGTGTATACAAAACCCATAAGGTTTCAGTTTATCGTATCCGTCCAGGTGCCAAATAAAATTTGGGCCCTTTGCGTGATACTGTCGCCTTTGGAGTCTATGCCTTGAGCGCCTTTGTACCCCTTCAGGGTCCATTATTCTTGACGCATTCCTAACAAATTCCTTGCTATCAGACAATTTATGGTCAATCACTTATCTCTGCCACATAGATCTGTATCCGAAAATGCTTCCACTTCCTTCTAGCTCATCTTCCATGGCGTCTGCTATCTCATTAAGGTTGCTGAAGCGTCGTCGTCCGAGATTTTTTTTCGCTAAGATTCTTTTAAGCTGTCGTAGACTTAGAAGTATATCATTATTTAAAAAGAGGCAGTCAGTGATTCCCTTACAAATGAAGCCCAAATGGAAATATTCCTCAATCATATGATTACGAAGGTCGTTATCTGCCATGTTGATTTACTTGAATGATAAGTGATTAAGGACAGCGGCTTTACCCAGAAGGTTGAGAAGAACTTGCGCCAATAAATGATAACACGGTTGAGACTTGTTCTTGAAAACGATTTTTTGCTTAATTTTTGACCTAAAGATAGGACTAGATATTTATTAAGAATATTGTTATACTTGAAATTTCTTGTCGGTGTAAAGTAAAGTAAGAATCAAGCTTGTTCTGCCTGTTGTGGTTTTCGAGCATAGCCGGGTTTTGTATTTTTCGACGGATAATTTACACTGTCAACACAGAAAAAAGTCGCGCCAGTAAGAAAAGAGTCGCGCCAGCAAAAAAAAGTCGCGCCATCGAAAAAAAATGCTGTACGCACACGAGTATGATGCTGTACGCACACATGTATGATGCTGTACGCACACATGTATGGCACTTACAGGGCTCCGTATTTGCCACAGGCTGATTATGGCCGTTTACCTGAAAGACTTCTTCTGTCGGTAAGGACAAAGTCAATAAATGAGAATTTTGTAAATCGAAAATTAAGACCATCGTTGTTTTTGTAATCATGATTCAACGTATTTCTCCATCTTAAGAGTCAGCGCCAACGCTCTCTACGATTGTTATTCGAGGATTGTCGATTCATTTATTTTCATTCATTAATGAAGCCGGCTTTTCTTCCCGTTAAAGGGCTATTCTAGTTATATAATAAACAAAAAAATACATAGTTACTTTTAGAGACGGAATTTCTCTTCTCGTGTTCAACTCGATATCTCATTCGTTCGCTGCGCTCACTCGTGAGCTATCGAGTTAAACACTCGAAGAGAAATTCCATATCTAGATAGATAGATAGATAGTTTAATCTCAAATGCATTTGCAGCCCGAGGGCTGAATTACACATTTTTACAATCCAAGAAATTTAAAATTTAAAATTCAAAAACCTAATTACACGTCTTATTATACCAGCAATTTACAATATAATAACATAATAATAAATTAAATAAAATACATTAGCTATAAATGTAAACTAATTAAAATAAATTTAAATTAATTAAAAGTATCTACATTATCATTATCATTATTATTACTATAATTATCACGCGTGCCGTAACAAAAATAAAGGATATCGTATCGATAAAAATCTAGCCATTAAACTTCCTTGCCATAGCAAATATAAAAGTGTTCATCGTTCTAGAAGTGCGAAGGCGTGGCATATTAAATTGGCGCTTATTTTTGAAGTTATAGCTGGGTTTATGTATGGGTGGAAGAAGCGCCTTTAACTTGTGGCTAGGGTTGTCTAAGATACCTTTAAAAAGCTTCTGACATAGAAATTCGTAATGTTCTAAGATGGGTCGTATTCCTAAATCTTGAGCGCGCCCATGTATTATTCTCTATTTATTTCACGGAGTTACGTTTGCATTTAGCTTAAAAACGAGAAATTATATGCATCCTTGGGTTTATAAGTACTCTGAGTAGGTATAAATGTACATGCTGTACTGTTCATGACGTATGTGTATATAGACTATGTATGTTGCCCAGTTTTGGGTCGATATCAGTTTCAATTTACGGTTGTTTTGATACTGAGTCGATTCGGCACATGAACCAATTCGATTCGATACTCGTAGAAATTCGATTTGATACCACTTCAGATGCAGTATTTGTAATTTGGTCAATGTTTATTATTAGAAACTGGACTACTTGAATGGAAACTGAGCGATTGATTCCTTTGCTAAGCATTACACTAAAGTTTGAGAGAAGGCAGCCAAACTTTGTGCATCTACGGTAACTGAGTGGAATATCTACATGTGGAAATTCATTTTTGCTTTTGCAAAGAGAGAGGGCTATTGTGACCTGCAGTCTAAGATTGCCAAAAATGGCCAGATCGCCAAAAATGCAAGATGTTTACACTTAATTGTCAATAAAGTCAAGTAATACTCCCGTCAAATCTCTTCGACATTTTTGGTTTGCTGCCTCTATACAGTTGTTTTGTAAATATTCCCAGAAGCCAAATGTTTCACCTCTCGTAAGATGATATGCACTAATGGTTTCGCCTAGGGTATTTAATGAAACCCTTCTGTGAGAAATAACGACAGAATTTTTCGGCTAGATTTTTCACTGTAAACTCTCCTTGTGAAAAAAAAATTTAGAAACCTTTAAGTGTCAATTGATTTGAACTTTAACCATCTACAATGAGAACGGTTTATCTTGAACCCTCAAAATTCGAAGATATTTTCCCATTGACGAGATCTGGATATACCACAAGTAATAAAACTAAGACAAGACATTTATTTTGAACCCTCAAAATTTGAAGGCATTATTCCATTGATGAGATGATGATTCACCACAAGAAATAAAATTAAAAGAAGAAATTTTTCTTTTAAATCCGAAAACAAACTAAACGGGTGGAATTTCATAAACGTTTAGCGTTTTCTTGTCCTCTTTGCCCAAAACAAACAACAGGTTGGTCAAACTATATGTCTTGTTTTGGATGCCTCTTGAAACTGCGTTTTTAATAAATTTGAGAAATAGGAGATCCATCGATTAAGAGTTTCTAGGGCTCACTCCACGGTACATCCAATTGTCATTGGTCGGATTGGCTGAAAAGATTAATTTTTAAAATGTAGTTTTGATTTTTTAGGTATAAATATGGACGTTCTGAGTGGCTCGAATGTATTCAACTAAACATAAAAAAAATACGTTCTAAAGTATAGAATTCTTTTTCTTGACTCTTTCATGTTAAGTAAAATTAGACACGTAAAATAATTGAAATTATCATATCAAGCGAACTGACAAATGTGACAAGCAGAGCCGTTGTCTGCGTGAAAACTGAGAGGTTTGTTACATAGCAATAGGATCTTACCGCAGGGAAACCAAATAGCGATGCAACAAAGACACCTGTGGCAAATCAGAATGGAGAAAAAAGGTCACTAACAAATTACCTTTAGCGCGGAAAAACTCAAGTGACTAAGTCAAGATTGGTTTCACTAAATTTGCCTCTAATTGGTTTACAGACTGATGTGAGCTTTCACGACCATCACAGAGCTAAGTAAAGCAAAACCGAAGGAATCCCGTATTGTACTTGTGACATGTAAGGGAGGTTGATCCATTTTTACATTATTCACTTGATCTATTAACTGATTTCTTTCTGCAATTTCTTTTAATTGAATTGAGAACCCGTTACGAGTTTTTCACACGTTAGATCCTCTCTTGCTCCAGATGATTATTTGGTGGAGTTCTGGGACAGATATGTTGTGGTAGGAATGAGGTACAAATAATTCCACAAAAAAGAAAAAAAAGACCTTTTGAACTCTTTAATAGCTCTAAAGAAGCTTGACATTTCTCTTTTAACTCTTATTTTGTCTTGGTTCAGTTTAGTACTCAAGACAAGTGACAGTGAGTACTAAAACTTTACTGGTCTGATTTTCATCTCAGCTCTCTTGGCGGAGTAACGATATCCTTTCCAAGAATACCAATTGACTCCATCAGCATATGAAGAGTGCTTCCCATGATGATAAACACCATTCAAGTTTGATACATGACAATTTGTGTACCACCAAGCTCCTTTGAAGTTCACAGCACAGTTACTGCTCGAGATGTCATTGTCCTGATCTTTGGTTGTGAAGGGAGAACCACGATGCCCAGAGAGGGAATCACCTGCAGTACCTGAAACAGAAAAAGGAAAAAAAGTGAAGGCAAAGCGATTACAATTTCTTGGTGGAGGCAGAATTCTGAGGCTAGGGGGGGGGGGGGGGGGGGGGGGGGGGGGCTGGGAGCTGGTCAGGGTTATACGACTCCCTTCTTTTTAATTTGGAGAACGTGATCAAGCATTTATTTAAAACCAGTCGGAAAATACTGCTGCGAGATCCCAATTGGAAATTTATGCCTACCCTCCTGGAAAGATCTTAACGACGTGTGACGTCGATTACAACTCAATATATGATTGCCCTCTTTGTTAGGAAAAAATGATCGAGTGTTTAATTTATTGAAAACCAGTTGGTATCTATCCAAAATGTCAGAGATATACGGGTGCAAGACCTCATATTAAATATTCGCGCCTACTTTCCCTGGGAGATCCCCAAAAATAACGGATGACAGCTGATGTAGATTATAACTCACCTGAGTAGGTTCCAAGACTCAACTGGTACTTAGCTTTTTCACTTGTCACTGCAAACAGGTCGTATTCGGCATAAGCGTTTTTACCTGTAGTATCTTCCAGATCGACTCGAAGCTTGTTCTTTGTTCTTGTCAGGCGGTTTACCTTATCGAGCCCCAGCCAAAACTCGCCATTCAGGTTACCAAAGCCATTCTTGTAGTCAGCCCAGCCGCGATAGAAATTAACAGAGCCATCCAATCTCTTTTGGAAGACTGTCCATCCTCCACCGGCTGTGGTTTGGTCACAGAAGACATTGAAGGCACCTGAACCATCAGGATCGATGGCGTAAACTCCGCTGACTTTTTGACCAGATTTGTAAAGCTCAGCACAGTTCCTCTTAGCTGTAAGAATAAACAAATTAAATGTGAAAGAACTTGTGCCATTTCATTTCTAGTCGGCGATCAGCGGCGCCGACCACACCGAACAGTTTCTCGCAGTCGGGAGAAGACCAGAAACCCCGATCATTGATTAGGATTGGCTAATAAAAGGAATTTTTCGACATATTTCTGGACTTTACCTTTCGGGTCCTGTTTTCCTTTGAGAATGTTGATGTCAGTTTGCATGTGGGCGAGCTGTTTCTTTATATCCTTTAACATAGTTTCCATCTTCTTGTTTGGTGCCTCGTAGAAATAAATGTTGTTACATTTCTTTGTCTTGATAGGTTTAGTTTTACTGTTCCCAGGCTTTGCCGAAACTTGATTCGTCACAAAGAAGGCTAAGAACAGCAAACTGGAAAGAAAACTCAAGGAAACAAAATTCATCGCATCAATGGAATAGCTTATCGTCCTTTTCGAATCGAGTGTGATCACAAGTGACAAGTCTGCCTTAAATGTGAATGTTAATAAATTTCATTGAAAAAACAAAACCGGATAATGAGTCACTCATTTTGGTTCAAGAAAAATTTTCCTGTTGAGCACGTGCGTAATTTATCCGGTCAGATAGACAGATCTAGACAAACAAGCATAGGGAACTGAAATCCGATGATAAAATTTCTAATTTCTCGTACACATAGACCTAACGTTTGGCCAAGTTTGCAAAGTAGTTATCTAGGTCTAAACTCCTTCTGAAGACCAACTGAACGATTGCAACTTTCAAATCAAAACATTTATTTTTTTTTTCATTCTGTGTGTCATTTGCGAATAGGTTATTAATTGTAAACAATTCATTGTCTAATTTTGTATTTATTATAGAAATTGACAGCTGGCGCATCATCACACAAAGTTTTCATGCTGCTTTAAGGCTGTGTTGGAAGTATCGCTTTTGGAAGGTTTCCATAAAATCGTGATTATGAAGTTAATTTTGCCAGTTCAAAGAAGATCATAAAAAAATGGTGGTTATATAATAAATAAAATATTTTAATTAATACAAGGTTATCTTATGTCAGACCTCAATTCACGGTTTATTCAATATGCATGCAATACTTTCGTTATCACCTGCCGGCGTTACACACGAAGAAAACGGTTTTATTTCCTCCGTTACTGTAAGTGTTGGGGACGATATGCAGAGAACTCTTTTACGCGTAGCCGCACCAATACAAGTCATTCCATGATTGAGTAAACCTTCTTTTAAATTTAAACATTTTCACCATTTGACATTGCGTGTTGTTTTGACTTGATCTTCGTACACCTACGGTAAAAACTGAAAACGAGAACCTAAATTACAACTCACTGGGCGAAAGCGAAACTGCAAAACGAGGCACATGTACTTACATATTTCTATGCGATAAACGGGTAGGAAAAGTACAAAACTTCAACAATCAAAATAAACACTGCACCCAAGGTCCTGACACGAAATTACTCTCGCACTAAAACATGTGCTACTGATCATGTGACCTAATATAAGTCCGCAATTCGTGCTTGGCCGCTAGTCGGCCCAAACAGTAAGACCTGGTTGGCATGTACCGTGTACACTTCCTGACATTACATAAATAAATTGATGCATTGAATCACTGGTCTATCAAACTGAAGAATTACAGCTCGAACTGTAGATGCCCGTGAACTAAGAAAGGGTATAAAGCCACTTCGACGGCATTTCCGAGTTCGTTCAAGTTGACTCTTTCCCTAATAATTGTGCGTTCTCTCAGTGAGCTACTTTTTCGAAAGCAGCACAGACGTGTACACAGTCGACGTTTTACTTCACCTGACTCGTATCAGTTCTACCACACCAACTCTTGTAATTTGTTATGACTTCATGATATCTCGCGAATTATCGACTGATCCACCCACTTATTCTTATGTAGTCAACTATGTCATAAGAAAACCAAACAAACAAAAACAAAACAAGACAAAGCAAAACGCATCACTGAAGCTAGATTTAAGATTAGATTTCTAGCAAGTTTTGTTCAACTTGATAAATTCGATTTACGAAGGTTAAACTTGTGCATATCCTTCCCGGCAAAACTGTATTTTGTTTAAAGAGACAATTTGGTTTTATCAACTGAGTTGATAATGTAAATTAGTCACCGTAAAGAGTTTCTAAAACTGACAATTCGAGAGTAAATGATTCGTAGCGAGGGCTTACTGTAAATTGCAAAACGATCTAATCGAAAAGAACTGAATATCTGCAATTTGCGACATGAACTCAGAATCTGTAATTTGAAAAATGGAAAGCTGTAATTTGAGAAACGAAAATGTGGAATTTACGAAACGAGCAAATCATAAAATTGTTGTAAAGAGGGGATCAAATAGCCCGTTACTGTGGTCCCTATTTAACTACAACTGTTATTGTTCCTCCTTTCAGTTTTATCGAACTGCTTTAATCAATTAAATTAACCATACACTTTTGTTTAAATTCATCTGCTTGAAAACCCACAGTTCTTAGAAAATGATTGAGTCAGACCCGTTCTTTCACGAGAAAATCACGATTTGGTTCTCTGGCAAAAGTCAGGCCAAAATTTACGTACAACGTATACTACGTAGGTAATAAACTATTTTCATTCACTGTCTTAAAGATTTGGTTTCCTTGCCAAATAACATAATTTTCCTTTTCTCTTTCGATGGTCGATGATGAGTGGCTAGTGCGCGAATAAAGAGCGTACCAAACTAATGATTTCGTTGATCAAACTGTACATGTATCAGATCAATTACACTGTTACCCAATTATCATTGAAATATTTCGGTCGTCCTCAAACTCTTCGTTAACTTCCATTTCTCTTTTTGAAAGAAACGCAGACATAAGTGTACACAGGCAATGTTTTTACATTTACTGAATGTAAATATTTCATTTTCATGTCGTGAAGTATTCTCGTAAATAGTTAATTGGGCAGTCTGTTCTTTTAGCTAAGGCTGGGTGTGTATATGAGATTCAAGACGATCCGACTAAAGAGCTCGACAACAGTTAAACCATACTTAAGAAACAATAAACAGAAAAAGTTGTTTTCATTTTAATTTAAGAAAAAACAACAACAAAAAAAAACAACATAGTCACCGAACTCGTAGCCTTATCATGTTTTCATGTCATGTTTACCTCACATTATTTGTCCTGCTACTTACGAGGGTGCATTTTAATTAAGCGTGAGGAAATGTTTCTGCTTGTTTTTTCGCACTGCATTTTGTTCTTTCGCCCGAGTCATTAAAGGTCTTTAAGATGGATTCCGACTTTTTTCTCATATTAAAAACGACCATGGTTAACAGACCGGGGGGTAATGGAAGTTTTACTTCTACAGCTACAATGCGTGAAAGTAAACATTAGAATCAGAAGACCGAAAAGGGAACATTACATATCTAATCTTGGAACAGTGATATCAAATACGTTAGATATCCGCTATGAATATCTCCACGAAATTTCCTAAGGGTATTCATTGTCTTCGATGATCCAGCGAACACGATTGCATCTTGTAAAGTTGAAATCAAGTGAGAATTTCACCCTTTAAGAAAACGCTCTTCATACAACGTACGTTTGCAATAAAGAACTTTTAAGTTAGATTTTCGAGTGTCCCGGTAGTTTGTGAGTAAGACTTGAATTGGAAAGGAAAAGAGATGATAGTAATCACGATGATAACAATGTTTGTTTCGCATCGAGATAGCGTGACGTTGACGAGTCCAAGAATTATCTTGCCCCAGCAAAGGCATTCATTACCACCATTACCATGCTAAGATTATCTCTTTCCCTTTTTTGAGGGATATTCGCTTTAAAATGCCTTGGTTAATGAAGTAGCAACAGTTTGCGTTAGGATCGTGAAATCTATCCCGGACGTGACATTTTTTGGGGAGTAACACACGGGTAGTTCCGAGAAGGTCTGCCTCATTTCTTGGTCAGCGGCAGCTATACAATACAAAATGGCGGCTGGTTAGGGAATTTTAAATATAGAGCAGATCAGGCAACTGCCTGCAGTCAGAAGGTGAGAAATGGCCTCTAAAGGTTCAGGGAGTCTTCCAAGTTTTATCTCCGGGTACTATGGACCAAATTCCAGCAGTTCGAGAGCCTTTGAAAGCTTGGTGAGAGCTATCGGAGAAGCAAAGTCGAAACAGGCGAGTGCATTACATCATTTTGGTCCTTTGCACGTTGATTGAAAGTAAGAAATAAGTTATCTAAGTTTAATTTTCAATCCTCACTACCGCTCAAGTAGAAAAAATGTTGCAGACTTCTTTGTTGCAGATGCACTATTTCTGTGATGCTAAGTGTACGTGAAAGTCAAATTGGCGTGACAGTGCTCAGTTTTACATTTTCAGAGTAATTTTTGTCACTGCTCCTCTGGAATTTGTATTTCAGTGGAAAAGAATCAGATACTTCAAGTAATTTGTAAAGAGGATGAAAGTGTATTCGGCCACTAACCGTTGCAGCTTTTGTTTTCCTTTGAAGATCATTTAAGTGAAAAATGAAACAAGTGAATTTATTGAGGCTCTCCTTGTTTAGGAAGAGGATAGAATCGCCAGGAAAGAACTTGCTGTATTAAAAGAGAAATTAATTCAACCAGACACTTCAGCGGTAAGTTAGTTCCGTTTTTATTTACGTGTTGATGAAATTTACTGGACTACATGAAACCATACTTTGAATTTACATAATGTAAGCTTATAGGTGTAAGTCCAAGAGAGAAATCACAAAAAATCCATTAATGGGATGCTTCAACATTATGAATTAAATGAATCTCTACTATGTGGTGTTGTTCTCCAGAAGCAAATGCGAGAGTATCTTGTGCGTCTTATCTACTGTGAAATGCTGGGTCATGATGCATCCATTGGTTACATTGAAGCCATCAAGTTTGCGCAGCAGTCAAACCTTTTGTACAAGAGGGTTGGTAAGCAACAAGTTTGTGTACCTAAAAGAGAGAGTGAATTTTAGCAAGTGAGTCAAATGTAAAAATAATTAGCTGCAATCCTGTAGTCTTTTGGTCAAAGGGAAGCTTATTTAACAGGTTATTTAAACCTCAGAGTCTTCAATGGTAAAACTTTGCCTCTACTCTACATATACAACAATACCCCATCCCACTCTCTTTTTTTTCTTTTAATCCCTATCTGTTCTTTATACATTTCGTATAGTTCTATTATTGTTCTCTATACATTTCCTATAGTTCTATTACTGTTTGCTATGCATTTCATATGGTGTTGATACTGTTCTCTATACATTTCCCATGGTGTTAATACTGTTCTCTATACATTTCCTATGGTGTTAATACTGTTCTCTATACATTTCCCATGGTGTTAATACTGTTCTCTATACATTTCTTATGGTGTTAATACTGTTCTCTATACATTTCTTATGGTGTTGATACTGTTCTCTATACATTTCCTATGGTGTTAATACTGTTCTCTATACATTTCTTATGGTGTTAATACTGTTCTCTATACATTTCTTATGGTGTTAATACTGTTCTCTATACATTTCCTATGGTGTTAATACTGTTCTCTATACATTTCTTATGGTGTTAATACTGTTCTCTCTACATTTCCCATGGTGTTGATACTGTTCTCTATACATTTCCTATGGTGTTAATACTGTTCTCTCTACATTTCCTATGGTGTTGATACTGTTCTTTATACATTTCTTATGGTGTTGATACTGTTCTCTATATATTTCCTATGGTGTTAATACTGTTCTCTATATGTTTCCTATGGTGTTGATACTGTTCTCTCTACATTTCCCATGGTGTTGATACTGTTCTCTATATATTTCCTATGGTGTTAATACTGTTCTCTCTACATTTCCCGTGGTGTTGATACTGTTCTCTATACATTTCCTATGGTGTTGATACTGTTCTCTATACATTTCTTATGGTGTTAATACTGTTCTCTATACATTTCTTATGGTGTTAATACTGTTCTCTATACATTTCTTATGGTGTTGATACTGTTCTCTATACATTTCTTATGGTGTTAATACTGTTCTCTATACATTTCCTATGGTGTTGATACTGTTCTCTATACATTTCTTATGGTGTTAATACTGTTCTCTATACATTTCTTATGGTGTTAATACTGTTCTCTATACATTTCTTATGGTGTTAATACTGTTCTCTATACATTTCCTATGGTGTTAATACTGTTCTCTATACATTTCTTATGGTGTTGATACTGTTCTCTATATATTTCCTATGGTGTTAATACTGTTCTCTATACATTTCTTATGGTGTTAATACTGTTCTCTATACATTTCTTATGGTGTTAATACTGTTCTCTATACATTTCTTATGGTGTTAATACTGTTCTCTATACATTTCTTATGGTGTTAATACTGTTCTCTATACATTTCTTATGGTGTTGATACTGTTCTCTATACATTTCTTATGGTGTTAATACTGTTCTCTATACATTTCTTATGGTGTTAATACTGTTCTCTATACATTTCTTATGGTGTTAATACT